ATATATAATATATATATATATGTAAGTGACATACTGTTGGGCTGGCGATTATTTGACTGGAACCTCAGCACGGGCTGAGGCGGAGCCGAGAAGTCACGCCACTGTTCTGTACAGATGCAAGCACAACAAAAAAAGCTACCCGAAGATAATACATGAAACTGAAAGACCTGTGGAGACAAACAAGGGGCGAGGCCAGATGACACAGTTTAAAATGCGAAATGAGGCATTTCCTGGACAATCTACTGTATAGAGCAAAGCCAGCGAGTGGAAACCCGACACAGTATCACGTAAAGCACAAGAGCACGAACCACAGATACACAAGAATAGTGATATCCACTACAAACGGGTACACGTCGCACTCAGTAAAGGATTGGCCGGCTGGGGCGCGTTATCAGGAGGCCGGCGAAAAGAACATAAAAGCAGGCTACCGAGTTCAGCTAGAACAGACTAGGAACACGGATTATAGGAACAAAACGCCACACTGAAGCTGTGTAGCAAGCAACAATTCCGTTGGATGAAACAAACGGAGCCATAGGTACACGTGGAATGAACTGCCACTTGTGAGCGCATGATTCAAAGGAATGGAATAAAGGCAAGCGGAGATGCAGACGGAAATAGATGCACACGCCCGAAAAGGAATACTTGTGGCTCACCGTAGTTATCTGGTGTGAGGGTCAGCAGCATGCCAAGGTCCATCCTCTCCACGTTTGTCTCTGTCTCATCATCCAAGGGCGTCAAACCCAAGCCAGCAAGACGACCCTCGTGTAACTGCATCTGAACACAGCAACCATACACATCTTAGGCCCCACAATTTGTATCATCAGCAATCAGAAGCTCCCGATCTGATGACGAGAGAAAGAGTCCAAAGGCCCCCAAGGGCCTTCGTGGAGTTTCCAGTGGTCTTCGTGGAAAGCCACTCTTTTGTTTAGATGTTCCAACACTGGTAAGGCGAGGTGGTGACGCTAAGTGTGACAGGACCAGTTGACACAAAATCCATTTATGTGTGCCTAAAACATTAAGTTTTGGACAGGACAAATTTGACGGTCCCATATCGTCTGCAGGGGACGGGTGTGAGCCGAGTTGCTACACAAACAAGGGATATAGGAGGCTGCGCTGAAGCACACTGTGCGTGGGCGTACTTTCGTGTCATCCTCAATGGCAAGTGCCCCGGTCATGAGGGCGATGCCGCTCTTAAAGCCTATTTCCACAAATGCAGCCTCCTGCTCCAACTGTTGGCGCATCTTCGCGTGGATTTGCAAAGCAAAAGCGGAAATCTCCTCCGCCTCCCACTCCCAGCCGATCTCTTCCTCTCCACCCTGCGCAATGGATGCAGGTTCACCTATAGCTCCGCATTCAAGCCTCGCACGGGCCTCAAATTCAATGCGGTGCAGTGTACAGACATACTTGGGGACAGAACGGGGGCTTATGATGGACGGCACGAGGTAGACAGGTACAAGGACTAGAAGGTATGTATGCCAAGAAAGGGATTCAGCTTCTTGGGGGAAAAAATGCAAATGCAGATATGCTCAACTCAGTCCAAGGGCGGAATTGGTGACACCAGGAAGCTATTCCTGCATAGCGTGTGATGTGGTCCAATGTTCCAAGCAACACAGCACGCGCCAGTGGATGGCGGGACAGCCGGCGTCCCCGCCGAATCGTTACTTTCACTACGAGTCAAGGGACCGCCTTTCAAATGCTTCTCAGCACCTTGCTTGTCGAGAAAACATTTTTAAGCAGCACACGAGCGTTCCCGTGAATGCTGAAAATGTTGTTAGCTGTTTCAGTGTGCTCTTCCGTTCCTTAGCTGAGCTGCGTGGAGGGCTGCTGAATAAGAACGAAAGGGTGTCTGCTCGCTGGCAATGAAGGCAATTGTTATGCTGGGGGGTCAACTGACCTGCTCAGCGCGCAGGTATCCTGAATCGGCGTCGCTGTCCGGCTCACTACTAACCTCCGTCACGATGCTTCCTATGCTGCTGCTCCTAAATCCCCTTCTGTTGCTGCTGTCATGCGTCAGCAACAGATTCTCAACGAGCTCCACAAAGCCCATATTGGCAACTGCGTCCTCTTGCATCCGCCGTCGCCTCCCCGTCCCCTTACCCCCCTGTGTGGCCTCCGGATGAAACCGCACAGTGCCACCCCCCCCATCGTCTTCTGTTGCTTGTGCTGCCTCCCCTTCTGATTCAGCTGCTCCTTCGGCTGCTCCTGCTGCACCTGGGGCGTCATCGCCAGATGCCTCTTCAGGAGATGTTCCTGCATTTGTCGCACTCCCTCCGGTCACTGCAGCAGCGGCAGCCGCAGCAGCGGAAATTAGCCCAAAAGACCACCACGGAGAACTCTGCAGATATACCACGCATAGTGTCACATCCGGTCTACTCAGCACCAGTAGCTGCCGCTCCCCCACCGACAATCGCAATTCAGGCGGGAAGGCATACGTCTACTCCCCAACATTGTGTCCTGTTGATGTAGTGTAGTCCCCGTAATCCCTGGCTACCTTCGCCAACAGAAGCAGCTGCTGTAGCAGCAGCGCTAGAAGCAGCCTATGTGCGGCAGTTGCTTACGGAAGGCTCATCATGAGTCGCTTCTACTGGAATTGCACCTCTCGAATCTGCCTTTTGCAGTGAGGTGGACGGCGCAGAGGAATGTTTATCACCTGGCATTTCTATATATCGATTGCGGCTCTCCTGGCTGCCGCTGGAGTTGAGATTTGGACAGCAGCAGCGGCAACTGCCGCATCTGGGAATAACGTTCTCTTGCCCCACTTAATCTGTCACCTGAATCCCCGTGCCTTGACGAAGGGAAATGAGGAGAGCACTGTTGCCACACAACCAGACCAGCACCGGCTGCAGCAGCAGCAACACCACCAGCAGCAGGTGTTGCTGCTGCGCAGCCTTCCTCGCCGCAGAGGGGAACTGAATGAAGGTACCTAGAGATTGTCGGTAATAAAAGCTGGCAAATAACTGCCGTAGACCGTGGAATGTCTAGGACGCTGCAGAAGCAGCACACGTATCGGAAATGCCCTGCGCGACAAAAGGCCGGGAGCGCGAGAAAAGCCCATGCTAAGATATAAAGGTGAAACTCAAAAAGAATGTGTGCAGCCTGCTTTCAATGAATTGGTTGTCCACAGAGTTGCAGTGAGCAAGTTTCCGTCCGCGTAGCAGCAAAGAGGGCGGCCAACTGGGTGACTAGCGTCGGAAATGCAGACGCAAGAGCGAAGCTCACTATATCTTAGGAATTACCCATCTTAAAGTGGGATCATATGAGGTCTCGTTGCATAGATGGAGCCTTCATTTGCTCTACTGCAAAACATAGCGATTATCTGGGCTGCCGGAACACAGTGGGTCTGAGGCGCTGTCGGCACTCCGTAGTGAACAGCTCTCGCGCACGGCTGTTGCTACGTGATAACCCGTACACCACTACTTAGGTGCACACTCAATATCTATCGCCGAAGTTAGTGAATTCCCTCTAAAACACCGTAAGTTACCAAACGACACACTTGAACCCAAAATCCAGCTCCCAAATAGTTGTTGTTAGAGGAGAGAAGGAACTCACTGGAGCCTGACCCCCTTAGGGGCCGAGCCTCACCGGGCCAGCCAGCCCCAATCCCTAAGGGCAGTGGGCCCTAGCAACCAAGTTGGCCACAATTATGATCTAAATGTCCCTTATTAAATACTATTACTCAGTGTATTGTGTTCTTCGGGGAATAGGCCGCCAGACCCTCGCTGGAGAGCCCACCTGCACTACACACTCGACGGTGGCCACTCTTGTTCTAGCTCGATTTGCGCTATAGAAGAACAGAGAACATCAAAATGAGTTATCCTATCACATCTTCGTAGTACGAAGGCTTCAACTATGTTGATGGCAGCCTAAGCGTCTTTGAATTTGTATTCAAAATTGGCGTTCGACAGGGTGTCTCTAGTTGCTTGTGAACTGTTTCAGCGCTTTCCTCCACACCAAATTGCATTTGTTCTCTAGATACAGTGTTTTCACATGCTTTGTACAACCGTTTTAAACTCGGTTTGCCGTTTGTACCTGGCTGCATAGAGACTCTACCCTGGTTTTTCGGCTGGAGCTCCTCCATACATTTATGCGGCGATGATTATTCTTCTTCTCACTTTCTTCTTTTCTGTGCACCGATCCGACTCCTCCCTTTCCCTTCGGCTAGGTTACGTGGAGCTCCCGTGTCTGGGTAATGCAGCGAGAGGCCTTGGTCCTATCGATCCTACTCAAGGAGTATTGCGAGCTTCAATGAAAGCACCGTGCTTTATACAAGTGTTCTGTAAGAGCAGATTATTTCATATTTCGGTATCCAGTCTTTCTGCGTCAACCAGCCCACATGTCTGGAGTTACGGGAGGGGCAGAGGCCAGCCATGAGTTCCAGCGCACCGTGCTGCAAGCTGCAAGATGGCCCCACATGCATGTACAAAAGGCTTATAGACAGTAGCCACGGACATTGTATTGTTGTAAACTTATTCGTGCATGCCGATTGCCTACCATCTATGAGTCAGGTTTCATGTACCATGTTCAGAGAGAGGCGCATCGGACGGATTGTTCTACGGCTGGACCCCCGCCTTTCGCACAAACAGCACACGCTGAAGTGTTCCAGCCTTTGGTCTGAGTATGGCTAAATTTGTTTGGTATTTCGCGTTTTGGCTGCTCAGCTGTGCTCTTAGCTGCTTTCGCTGCACCCAGCACTTCGTGTTCGCGCAGCAAGACTTGAAGTGCCTAACCACCAAGTTTCACGCCGATGATGTTCACAAAAATTTTACGGAATCACCGAAACAGCCTGAAGTCTTCTCAGAAGGAATCAACAGTGCCGTTGCAAGTGTTTCAGGCTCCCCAATTTGTGGCCACAAACGGGGGAGCCTGAGACCGTCAGCAATAGAGTAACAGGTTGCAGAGCTAACAAAAGCCGAGAATATTACGTTCAGTGGCCAGGAACTCGGCACCACGAATGAGGATTTGAGGACCTTCTGTGAGAAAGAGTCCCCCATAAACACTTGGAGACTGTCTTTAATGAGGCGGTAGCTACTCCAACCGTGTGGGTGTACACTGCAGCTTAAGATTGGCGTTTCTTTTAAATATCCCGTAATCGCAGCTGTTTCTCCACTGACGAGGGCCAAATCTATATGCTCTGGGGTGCCAACTAATTGTCGTTGCAATCTACTTTCCCTCCTCTCCCTACGGCGAGCTTATTTCAAGTCTTAAGTGCAGTAGCTCCCTTCCATTGACTTCCTTGGGCATTGGGCAGAGACCGCCCGCCGCACAATTAACAAAAGCAATACGATTTATGCTTTATGTCCTGCTAGGTCCTCCCCTACAAGTGCCCGACTGAAAAAGGGCTATGTGTAGCACAGATCCGCGAGCGTGCTCAAAGACTCAGGCGAGCTGCAATGCACTTATTTTGCTTAAGCCAAATGCTCGACAAAAGCCGCTTACCTCCCTTTCCATCCCTTAGGCGGCTCGGATGCAGCGAGACAAGTGCCCGGAATTGAGAAAGGCGAGGTGGCCAATGAAAGTGTTGCAACACACCTTGGTACAGCCCATGCAGCAATACAGCCGGCTTTTATGCGTCAAGACACCGTTTCCGTTGCAAGGTCGGCATTTTCATTGCCCTTCCCTTGGAAGCAGTCGGTCTGTGGACCTTTGATAAAGAACGTTAAAGTGCGTCGGACGCCGCCATTACTGAACGGAAGCCCATTAGGCTTCCGTTGTGTAATGGCGACATAGCGTTCTGCGCATAGCTCCGGTGGCCGATATTGTTCACATCTGTCATAGCGTCTTCCCCTTCCGACCTGAAAACTTCGCCACACCACAGACCATCCCGGAAGGTTTTATTGTCCTCGTTGTGCTCCAAAAAGGTAGTGCCGTTGCTTAGATGTAGCCACCAATGTGATCTTTCCTCTTCTAATAAAGCAGATATCAATAGCAAGCGTACAGCTGCTAGTGCGAGTCGGAGACGGAAATACAGCTCCAGAGAGGCATGAAACTATTCCACCTCTCTTACAACACGGCAACACTCATGCATGGGAGGGAGGTTGCCAATGGCTTCGGCATTCTTCACAGATTCTTGTTGCCGTGCAAAACACATTTGCTGTGTGTAGTACAGAAGCTGCATTGGCTTCAACTCTACGAGGTTCCTTCTCGCTGTGGTCTCCCCGCCTCATATATTAACAGTTTTGCAGGAGCAGTGGACGTGGACGTGGACGTGAATAATATTTTAGTATAGTTCAAAAATTATGCATGCAGGCATGTATGTATGCCTGCCGACAAACATATTCCCTAGCAAAAGCTTAGGTACTCACTGCTGTGCCCCAGGCGGAGTTGTTGTGGAGGTGAGGATCGTTGCTTGCAGCTGCTCCCGTGTATCCTACAGCGCAAACAAGTGAAACAAAAGCCTTCAATCGTACCCGAGGTCTGGTGTGAGCTGTACTGGAGTCAAATTACTTCAAGTAAGAGCACTTTAAATATAACAGGAGGCGCATGAGAGAGCAGCAGAGGGACCTGAGACAGCATGAGCATAACTGCGAGATAAGTGGAGCAACTGAGTAGAGCTACCCCAAAGGAAAGGCGCGCAAAAATACATGGAGAGATCTACGAAATTAGCTCCATCCTTTCTTGAAGTCGCATTTCTCTGCCTTATCAAAGGTTGGTGGCGAGCTGTAGTGATGCTTAATGCTTCATACAAGCGTCCCTAAAAATGCCCCACGTGCCTGCAGGCGGACGCAAGCCTTCTGTGCTGGCTGTACTGGCACTGTACAAAAACAAACGGTGAAGGATTCTGTTTTCGTTCAAGCCGTATGCGAAGACCGACATGTGGCCCCTCTGGCAATTTTATACAGACTCCGCCATTTCTCTTCCTCACGGGCTGGCGGGTGCACACAGCACCGCAGTAGTGAGCAAATAGTGGGGAGAGGAAGTGGCTAGAAATGAGTTGCGGCATAGATTCTTCCAAATCTCTCTGCAAGGCAGGTACAAGGCACAACCTCCTGCCAACCTGTCAGGACCCCTCTGCTGCATGCACGAACCCTGGGGTGGCGCAACACACGATGCACCGCAGTAACGCGTGAAGAAACACCACTCCCACTTCATCTAACACGTGAGACAAGCTGACAGTTCGCTCCTCTAACGAAAGTTTCCTTTTGCACACTGAAACATGGGCAGTGGCATCTGCCACAGGCGAACGAGCTCACCAGCAGCAATGACACCGGACGCGGGTGGATTCTCCCCACACGCACACGTATCGCAGTTGACACTGTGAAAGTTGTTAAAATATACGTATTCCTTGATTGCCACAACCGGAAGAAAGGGAATATTCGTAATGTGACTGCACCGCACGGGCGCTGCAGGCAGTGGGTTGGGGGCCCCAAAGAAGGCAGCGCGTGCAGGCGTTGCATTGAGCCCGTCTTCGATCCAGGGGTGGCGTTTTAATTCCGTGGGTCTTGTTTAGTTGTTGTTTTAGTTGAAGTTCATTTCTTTAAAAGGGAATCCATTAGAAAACGTGCAAGGGTGCCATGCAAACCGGCGTATTGCCACTTTTCATATGTGTGCACCGTCGTGCGCGTCCATTGGGGTTCTCTGGAGGAAACCGCAGGCAATCCTCACCGAGAAATTTGAATTTTTCTTTAAATTTGATTTGATTTGTTTGTTTCATTGAATGCGCCACATGAAGGCGCGGAAGAAGTCACCATGACATCGCCGTTGGCCGCTGCAGCGGCTGCTCCCACACTTCAGGCTTTCAGTTCCGCGACACCTCAGCTTACAACCCAGCAGCTAGCTCAGCAACACATCCAAGAAGACTCTGCGCTTCCTTCCCCGTTGCTTAGGAGGAGGAGGCGAGGTGACGGCCTCAAGTACATCGGCGCCTTGACGTTCTTCTACCTCGCAGCTTTACTGCTACGGCGTGCCATATCGGCGGCACGTACACCTGAGGAAGCCCAGGGTTCTGCACTCAAACCCTGTGTCGTCCATTCCTCTGCCAATCTGCAGGCTCAAACTCTTCAGCAGCAGCAGTTGGGTGGGCTGCTGCTGCACACAAGTGCGCATCGCACCATCCCCGGGGACTCCGCTCAGCTGCAAGGCCGCCACAAAGAGCCCAATAAAGCTATCTCTTCTGCTGATGCTTCTGCTGGGGGAATGTCCTCAAACTCGCTGGTCCCTTCGAAGCCGAGAGCTCTAGTTTCGCCGATTCCGCCGGTTCGCTCACTGCTGGGGTTGCAGCTGTTGCTGCCGCTTCTGGCTCGCGCCTCTCCTGCAGCGACACCATCACCACCAACGAATTATCTCAGGACAGCAGGAACAGCAGCATTTTCCGGGCCTCCTTACCCTCCTATCCCCCTGCCTGCTCCTCCAGGGGCCTCCTTCCCGGGGGACCCACAGGCCAGAAGCCTGCGGCAAGAGGGCAGACCCACTAACCTTAAGCTCAGCCATCAAGTGGAGATGGGAAACGTGGAGAGAAGTTCTAAAGTGCAAATTCAAATGAACAACGACAACGGGAACAGGAAGTATCCCTGGTAAACTGCATAGACACCTGATGCATCTGTATGGACAACTCAGTGCACTGTATCCACACGACCTTTTATTTGGACGAGCTGTATTTACACCCAAATGAGTTGTATATACACCCCAATGAGTTGTATACACAACTCAATGAGTTTTCGAACACGACGTAGAGCCATATACATGGGTTTTAGTATACATTCAGACACTTCTGCTGCTCACAAGGCAGACTGCCTTTGCGTAAGAGGCCTTAATTCCGAGAGGATGCATTGCTGTAGTTTTGGGGTCTATGGTATTGCGATTTTGTTTCTCATATTTGCTTCCTGCCTTTCCGTTGGTGGCTCTGTTGACTGTCTCCTGTCTCCCCCTTGAAATGCTCCTGCCTTGGTTCTGCTGCTATTTTGCTCAAGCAGGAGTTTTCGTCTGTTACACATTGCTATTGGAGTGCTGCCACAGAGTCAAGTTGTTGCTGTTATTCACTCTGGCTGTCTGCCCTCACTCCTCGGCTGCTGAAGTTGGGCTATGCACCTCTGGTTGTGCTGCGGCTTGCTTTTCGTTTCTTTTGCGTTGTTTTATTCCCCCAACGTTCGCAGTCCTCTTCCTACAAGCTACATGCTCAGCGACTGTAGCAACAGGAGCAGCAGCAACAGCCAGCCACAAGATAGCACACTGCTTGCTTGTTTCCTCAGAAAGTCCGTTGGACAATCTTGTAGGATTATTGAAGGTCTAGGGTTTGGGGGTTGGTATGTGGCCTTCGCTTTGCGGCTGCCTTCAACGCCGCTGGGAACCCTAAACACGAAGCCCTCATTGCTACTCCGAGAAGCCGCGACATTCACCTTCGCACCACATACAAAGAGTGTTACGAGGGTTTGGGGTCTAGAGTTTATGGTTTACAGCACATCGTTATGAGGCTGCGTCTGCAGTTGGCTGCGTCAGTCGCTGCTGAGCCCCTAGAGGAGGCTTACGTTTTACGTTATCCGTTGGATTACCATCAGACATGGAATGTATCTATCCGTGAGTGCGCATCTGTGCCTATGAATATGTGTGCATATATACATCAGATTCTTATATTCTACCTTGTCTGGCGTGTTTGGTTTTGGTTGCCTTGGGAGGTGCTGCGCTCGCGTGTTGCGGTGTACGAGCAATAGAGCTCGGTTGCTTGATGGTTTGCGTCTGCTTGCAGCAGCAAGTAAGTCTAGGAGGTGATCTCGTGGTCGTATTCTGGGCTGTATAGACACTGGGGGCTGCGCTACCTGTCGCTCGCAGCATCTGATCCCTAGGGGCTTTTTTTGGTTGCTGTCTTCACCTGAGGGTGGGCCAGGTTTGCCCTAAGGCAGGCTGTATGGTTTAGGGTTTTCGGTTTAGGGTTGGCGGCGGATTCCCGCTGAGTCTTCTGTATATGGTACTTTCAAAGGTGAAATGCCATTTTATTTGTATGTGCTGGGTCGGATCGTGGGATGGTCGATCTTTTCTGTTCTGACGGTCCCCCCAGAAACTGCTTATTTTTTCTCATTTTCTCCCTTTCACCCTAATAATTGTATACCACTACTTTACACAAGTTAACTAATATTAAGGGATGCTAATGGTTGGGTTAGAGGGCAGCTGGAAAGAAACCACGGGCCACACAGCAAACACAGCTATACCGCGTAGTGTAGGCTGATAAAGCAGCAGGTGGTGGCAGCAGAGTTAGGGGTTTAATTCGTGTTACAACTGAGGTTAAGGAAGTGTTCTTAAGTTTTATTACAGAGTATTACAACGTATTACGGAAATGAAGTGGAAAATGACTAGGAAGAACGCAGCATCCTCGACTGTGCAGGGTATGCTGCTCGGGTGCTGCTAGGGTCCTTCTCTCCCTGTGGGGGCGTCAGGTGCCTAGAGTTCTATACAAAAGAATAAGTAGATGCAGAGGCAACTCCAATGAGTAGTTAAAGCTTTCAGCCTTTATTATGTCGTTTTAAACCCACAGGTAGGCACAGAGAAGGCCATCTCCCCTGTCTTTTGGGGGGCTCTAGTTATTGTTGCTCGGTTTCAGTGTGTAGAGAGGGTCTCGGACGGGTTGTCTTTGAGTTGACGTGTTTAATTTGCATTTATATCTTGTAGAAACCGGACACTTCTACAACAACGGGCCCCCAGCATATGACCTTGCCACTGTCCAGGGTCACCTCTCCATCCTCATGCAGATCCCCCCACAGAGGGCCACCAAACGCAACCTCTCCATGGCGGAGGTCCTCAAGGATCCCTCACAGGAGAGCGCTGACGGACCTTTTGAAGTTTCCGCCGAATTTCCTGGAGGGGCCCCTGAGGGGCCTCCTCGGGTTCCTACCGATCTCGACAGGGGGGCCTTTGGAGAGCAGCTCCGTGAGTGTCCCCTTGAGGGCCCCCCCGAATCCTGTGTACGGGCCCATGAGGAATCAACTGAGAACCCCACGGGAGGGCTACTCGCAAGGCAATGGAAGGTACAGTCGGAGGAGTGTCAGGAACCGCGGGTTCCTTCGGAGGCCCCCACCTCCAGGCCTCTGTTGGCTCTTCCTTGGCGTTGTTTTAACTTTAACTTTGACGGCGACTTCTCCGTGGGGGGTCTCCCAGTGCTGCTGCCAACAGGGGGACCCTGGAGGCCCCCTGAGGAGCAGTGCAACGGTGACACTGGTAAGGAGTTGTTTTCCTTCACTGTAGCTGTCTCTCCAGCCCTATTGTCTGGAAATACACCGCAAGAGTTTTGTGACCAAATGAACAAATACATCCACCGATAGACAGTATTCTGCATTCAACCGTACAACAACCTTTGGAATTGCCGTTTCTCCACAGGTTGCTCCGTCTGGGACGCGGCAGTTGTCCTGACTCAATATGTAGAGGAGAAGCTGGAATCTCTATTCAAAACCCTGAAGGTACACCCATCATGGGAGCATTCAGGGGGCCCACAAGGGGATATTCCTGAGGATTCCCTCCCCCTCTTCATCGAGTTGGGGGCAGGAAAAGGCCTTGTTGGGTTGGGGGTTGCTGCTGCGCTCACAGCGTTAGTTACAAAGAAAGCCCAAGGGAGCCCAGAAATCATGGAGAAGGTACCATACTCGGGAGCCTCCAGGACTCTCCCGAGACCCTCACGGTGCGGTTGCAGAGTGTTGCTTACTGACTTGGACTACTGCCTCGGGGGCCTCCGCGCGGCAGTAAAACTCAACGGACATTTTGCCGAGCTTGTTGATCTTTCAAATAATACACAGGATATTTCAGTGCAAAACGGGCCTTCTGGGGGGGCCTCAGCGGTGGGGGCCCGTCACGGACCCGGCGGGGGTCCCCTAGCAGGAAGCAGAGAGGGGCCCCCAGGGCATCGGGTGCGGGTTGCAGTGGAGGCCCTTGACTGGTTCTGCCCCGACCAGTGCGTTGCCTGGGGCCCATCAAGGGCCCCTCCGCTACAGAATTTATTGGTCGTAGCTGCGGATGTGTTGTGGCTGAGGGAGCTGGTAGAGCCGTTTGTACAGACACTTGCTTTCTTGTTTTCTAACAGCAAAAGAGACAACAACGTAGTTGACAACGCTGCCCCGAGGCCATTAAAGCACTTTCCTCCAGGGCTGCCAGAGGGGTTAGCCTCGAGACAGGGGCACCTAGCAGAGCCCCAATATGGGCTTCCAGGAGGGCCCGCAGGGAACCTCCCTGGGGACTCAAGCCCGCTGGAAGAGGACCAGTTGTGTTTTCCCTTCTGTCTCCTGGCACACCAAAGCCGCTCCACAGCAGTCGATAATCTCTTTTTTGCACTCTTAAAGAAATATGGACTCTATGCGAGCGCCCTGAGGTACGGGGCCTCAAGCGGAGGCCCCAAAGGGGCCCCTCTGGGCGCCTCGGGTGGAGAAATCCTCTCGAGGAGGGCCACCAATTCAATACAGGTTTACGCGATTCAACAAATGCCCCAGCAGGGGAGCTTCTTTAAGGCTTGATGCTAAATGGATATTGGAATTTGGACGGCTGCCTCCTATTTTGTTGTCATCGTTTTCTTGGTTTCTTTGTTTTCTTCTGTCTGTCTTCCTGTAGTTAGACTTGCTTCCCCGTTTTTGTTTCATTTACGTTTCTTGTTTCTTTGTTACCGCCGCAGGATTTGTCGGTCTCCCCTCCTATGTTTTGCCTCGAACGCTCTTTCTTCATTCGCTTTCTGGCTTGTTGTTTCCTTGAAGAAGCAACAAATTGACCAACCCTAAACACCTGCGACAGAGACATGCCGCATTATCAGAGGAATTCCAAACAAACCAACACCTGCGACAGAGACATGCCCTGCCTCGACTCCCCTTTTCTATCTGTTCTGGGGAGGCTGGTGGGGAGGCTAAAAACTACCTAGCTACCTAACGGGTTGGCTAGCTAGCTATGTAACAAGCTGCTTGGCTAGATAGCTGGCTAGCTAGCTACTTAGCCGAAACCTTTAACTGCCTGAGCTCGCAAGCTGAAGCTGATCCTGCGCTCTCTCTCTCTCTCTCTCTCATCAGAATCCTTGCTGTTGCATTGGAATCCGCTGTTGACTTTTGCAGGCCAGGAAAAGCATCAGAAACAGCTGCGGTGAAGGCACCAATGTCAACAGCCACAGCAATATCGGCAGCGCATACAGGAGCAACAGCAGCAGCAGCAAAGGCAGCGACGACGAAAGCGGAAGCGCGGGCAGCAGCCGATTTTTTCTTTGTGGTGGGGCATTTTGTCTGTCTTTTTGCGTGATCACAGCGCAGCTTTTGCACTGCCATTTGTCCTAAGTGCAAAGGAGATCTCCTTGTGGTCTGCTCTCAAGCCAGCCGCAGCAAAGGAAGGTGTTGCTGAGGCTGTTGGGGGAGACTGTTGGTGAATGCATGCCACAGTTGCAGGGAAAGAAAGAGATGGAGGGGCTAGTTGACTTTTTTGTGTAGTTGCATTCCACGGTGTTCGAACACCCCGGGGCAGCAGCCGTGCTTGACGGCCCTGGCTTTCGTTAAGTTCACAGTGGCTTGTTTGCCTCTTTAACTGTTGGTTTGATGGAAACTGACGCTGTTTCTTTTTAATTGTACCTATATATTGTAGGGAAGCCCCCTACGTGTTGCGAGGCTCTTGCTCTGCGGCGGTCTGTGGGGACGGGAGCGCCGGCGTGGGGGGCAGACCCTTTTCAGAAAGCACATCGAGTGGAATAGTTGATTTTAAAAGGTATTTCAAAGATCGGAAGGCTTTTATTTCCTTTTTTCGGGAAAAAATTGTACTGACAGTATGTCGATGGCGACAGCGGTTCGGCTTGGGCTACGGCGTCGAAGGCCCAGTGGCCGGCGGCACGAGCAGAGAAGGAAGGGAGTTAAAAGAGGAAATGGGGGGTTTCTGTGTCATTATATTGAATTGTTCAGTTATATGTATAATAAAATTGCCAAAAAGAAAATCCATTTAGCACTGTTTCGGCTGGCTATCCTCAGGACGACACCCTGAGGACGGCTGCGGTCGCTGATGCCTCCGCCGGCGCAGAGGCGACGATGAGGACCTAGTGGGTTCGTTTTCCCTTTCGCGTTTGTTTCTCCCGTTTTGTTTCTTCATTAAAAGGGAGTTTTGACCCTTTTTTCCTCCCTTCCCCCCCCCTGTGCAGCCCCCGGTGTTTGCAGCAGGCAGCAGGCAGCAGATGGCTCGCCGGTTCAGTCCCCTCCTCTCGGCGAGTGTTCATACACCCCATTCTGCCCATGACTGGCGTTGTTAGGCGAATCTAAAAGCATACAGGGTCATTCTGGTGAGTTTATTTCCCATCTGGAGCTGTGTCGATGTTCTGCGCTTCCCCTTGTTGCTAACAGCACACACAACGCCACATGCAACAGAACCCTAAACCCTTGAAACGACGGGGCCTCTCTTGGGGTTAGTTGATGTGTTGTTCTTCTGCTTCTAACCACACCATTAATGCTAATTTTTCTTCTTCGTAAATCACCATAAGGGGCTTTGTCGCGGCTGTACATACAGCTGCAGGCACCGCTGACCGCGCTGCACGCTGCAGCAGCAGGAGTAGCAGCAGCAGCGCGGCGGGGGAATGGAGGCCTTGCTATTGGACCCCATGTGCATTTATGTTTCTAGCTGAGTTTTATTAGCCGAAATGAAAACAGTAAGCTGCTCATACATCTCATCTAGGCCGTAGTTGCTGCGGCTGGAGTTGTAGCCCATGCAGCAGCTGCAGCACGTGCTGCGGTGCATGCAGTGTAGCACATAATCACTGAATTCTTTGTTTATATTTCCCCTGTATACACGCGCCTTGTACCGACAGCAGTCTGCTGGCATGCGCTAAGGGCTGCTAAATGCTGCAGGAGTTCACAGCAGCGGGCTGTAAATACAGCTAGGGGCCCGCTGCTGCAGCGAATTTTGCTGCTTTGTTCCCCTTCTACAAAGGCAAATAAGGCAGCAGTGGACGTATACACTTCAGCTACAGGGGAGCCCGGTTAGGTGGCATTGCTATTTCCTCTGTTGGTGTTGTGAGGCTCCTTGTTCTTCGAGCTGTTTAGGTTTTAAGGTTTAGGGTTTGCCGTTTAGGATTTGGGGCTTCGAAGAAAAAAATTGTCGCTAAACGAGAGAGAATGAGAAGGTTGATTTCTTGCTTGATGCCTGCTGTGATATTCCCGTGCTGCTGCTGTCGCCGCACTCTCAGCTACCTGCTGCTGCTGGTACAGTGCAACATGTGCGTTTGCTCCTGTGGTGTGTGCTGGCTCTGCTGCCCCGCAGCAACATTTTGTCATCCCCCTTTCCTCCGTCGTCTTCCTCCTGCTGTCTCAGCTGCAACGGCCACAGCAGCAGCAGCAACAACATCAACCGCAACCGCAACAGCAAGAGCTGCAGCAATTGCAACAAAGGCAACGCCTATTCTTAGTTCCCATATTTATTTTCTCCCCCCTCACCCCTCCATTTTTTAAGGTGGTTAGCAGCACCAACAAAGGCTAGTGCAGCTGCCCCTGACAAGAATATCTTGCAGCAGCAGCAGCAAAAGGGGAAGCAGCAACAGCAGCAGCACTAGTAGCAGCAAGTTTTTTGCTTGGGCTACCCTTGAAACGCGAACGGCCTCACGCGTGCTGCTTCTGCCTTGTCGTTTGGAGGCCTAAAACGAGCCAGAAAGTGGAACAGCAGCGGGAGCAGCAGCAGCAGCAGCAGCAGCAGCAGCAATAGCTGCTGCAGCATCCGCTGCGGCTGCTGCAGCAGCCCCTCCCCTTTAGACTGGACTCCCAGCCAGCAGGATGTACGTACACCAGTCAGCCTCCATAGCGATATCTTCCTCCTCCATTTCCGTGGAGCTTGCGAAGCAACTGCAGCAGCAACAGCAGCTCACCAGCGGCAGCAGCAGCAGCATCAATCGACTCACCACGAGGCAATCTTTGGGCTTTCTTCTCGAGGGCCATCCAACATCCCTACCAAACAGGTTCTCTTGCAGCCAAACTTGCTCCTTAACTAACCTCAGCAGCAGCAGTAACAGTAGCAGCAGCAACACCAGCGTGTTCGCTAGGGTGGTTCCCAGCAGGTATTCCCAGGGCAGTGTTCGCTACGAGAGAACGACGCAGCGACAGCAGCAGCTGAAACTGCAGCAGCAACAGCTGTTGCAAAGGCCAGCTTCTTCAAGGGCAACTCCACTGCAGCCAATTTACGCGCCGCTGCAGCAGTCGCTGCTTCGGACAGGACAGCAGCAGCATCAGCATCAGCAGCAGCAGCACTCCCTACAGTGTCATCTCCCTAAAGAGGTTCAACAAAAGGTACATGGCTGCCAGCAGCAGCACCTGCAACAGCAGCCGCAGCAGCAGCAGAGGCGAAAGTGCCAGCAGCAGCAGCAGCAGCAGACGCAGCAAAAGCAGGAACAACACGTTTACTACAACCCTGCGTACTCAATACAGCAGCAGCAGCAGCAGCAGAAGAAGAAAGCTGCTGCCCACTCCTTTACCTTGGGCCGCCAAAGAGCAGCTCACAAGCCTCGGCAGGTTCAAATTGCTTTCAGTTCTGCTGCAGCGGAGCAGCAGCAGCAGCAGCAGCAAATGGCTCCCTTATCCGCTCCAGGTAATTCCACTTGTCTCCTGTCTGACGGGCCTTCCCTCTCATTGAGGGAGCAGCACGTACAGCGGCACCATGATCTGCAGCAGCGACTGCAGCAGCACCACCAACACGAGCAGCAGCAGCAGCGGCAGCAGCAGCAGCGGCAGCAGCAACACTATACCGCACAGACTGTAGCGTCATCTCGCAAGGAGCAACCGCAGACCCTGTCGGCTGCTGCTTCCAGCAGCCGCACTACCAACGCTCCACCCTCCAGCAGCAGTACCAGCGGGAACAGCAGCAAGCTGCGACAGTTCACCAACTGGCTGGACGTGACCCTCAACAGCGCCTGTGCCCGTCGCCGCGCTCTGCGTCAGTGCTTCTGCAGTTCGACGATATCGGCGGAAGCCCTGGTAAGCCTAAACGATAAGCAATAAGCCCTAAACCCTTACTAGTGTATTACTAGTGTGGAGGCATGGACTCTGCCGCTCATGCATCTATTTTGTTGGTTGTGGTCGTTGTTGGATGTTTATCTATTGCCGTCGTACTTGCTCATGCGCTGCTGCTGCTGCTGTGCTGCTCCTGCCGCTTTGCTGCTACTGCTGCTGTGCTGCTACTTCGGCCGCTGTTGCTGCAGCAAAATCACCCTGCTTCTTTACTGGGCACGACAGTCTACAGCTCTTCACTGCTGACACTGTCGGGTGGCAGCAGAAAAGAGGAAGAGAAATCGCTGGAGGCAGCAGAGGACGAATATTTTTGTCTAACACGACTGATTCAAAGTGCAATATTTGGTGCTGTCTTTGCTGCTGTAGCGCACTCCCACCCAGACCCAACAACCAGCAGCCGCAATAACAACAACAGCTGCAGCAGCAACAGCAGTGGGAGTGGGAGCACCAGAAAACGCAGCAGCAAAGTGGCAGTTAAGGTGCTGTCTCTTGCCCTCTTTCAACGCAGCAGCCCTTCTTTGCAAGAAGATTTTCTGTCCGAAGTTACCTTCTACGATTGTCTTAAAGGGCATGCCAATATCGTTACACCCACTCGGGTGTATGTTGACCTCCAGCAGCAGCTGCTGCTCCTCCTCTTTCCCCTCGCTGAATTTGAGGACCTCTTTGAGGTTTTAAAAAAGCGAAAAGAAGCATTTAAAGAACCAGAAGTCAGCAGCACCTGCCATCGATCATGCTGCTGTCCCGGCTACTGCCGAAGTGCTGCTGCCGCTTTTGTTGCTGCTGAACCTGCTGCCGCTGCTGATGCCGCTCCTGCTGCTGACTGCTCTGCTGCTCTCATTGTTGCTCTTACTGTTGCCTCTTGAGCATCTGCTGCCACTCGCCCTACTGCACTGATTGTTTTTCTTGCTGCCTCTACTGGAGCGCCTATTGCTGATGCCGATGCTGCAGCTGCTGCTACGCATGCTTCTTCTGGTGCTGTTGCTGATGTCTCTCCTGCTGTTGCTCTTGCTGCTGCTCTTGCTGCTGCTCTTATTTGGCCTCCGCTCCTTCTGCTGCTGGCTTATATGTCTCCCTGTTGCCGCTGCTTCTTGCAGTATATAAACATCTTGGCCCCTTGCTACCTCTCTGCCTTCTTGCCAGCCTCTGCAATGACTTAAGAGTTTCACTTTAGGGTTTTGGGTTTGGACGGGTGCGCTGTCCGTAGGTGCGCTGGATGGCTCGCCAGCTCCTAGATGCAGTTTTGTTTCTGCACAGGAGGGGCATCGCAATGCGAGGTAGGATGACCGTACTGCCAATCCAACACCCCCTAAACCATAAGCCCCAGGTAGCGAAGCCTCGTTTCATTTTGGCCCCATGAGTCTCAAAGTGGCTAGACCCCAACCCTGCGTTCTAACCCCGGTCTCCGGTTCACAGTGATGCGCTGCAAACCCTAAACCATGGAAAACCTAAATCCATAACTCTAAACCCTAGTCTGTTATGACGACGTTGTAGGTGGGTGTGTTCTCAGATTTGTCCCTCGAAAATGTATTGGTCTTCCGCTGCGAAGCCACCGGCGCCATCGTCCCATGTTTGACGGACCCTGGGCAGGCTGTGGTTGCGCTGCCTTCTCGCACAGCTGCTGCTCTTGCTGCAGCAGAGCAGCAGCAGCAGCAGCAAGAACAGGATACTCTGGAGAGCTCTAAGCCCACGGCTATTCGAGATACAGACAGCATCGTCTCGAGGGCAATGAAATCAGACAGCTTCAGTTCTCCCCATGTTTTGCTCCCTCCCAACAAACTCTTTGGAAAGAGCTTTAGACCCCCGGAGGTGTATACACGCAAACCGTAAGACGACATCCCTGCTGCTGCTGCTGCTTCCTCTTCTGCTGCTGCTGTTGCTCTTGGAGCCGTCTGACTGGCGGTGCATGCGGCCCATGCTGCTTTTGGTTAGCTCTGGTTTGGCGGCCTCAGGTGCTGCTCTTCCCCGCCTCTGCTTGCCGCTGCTGCTGCTGCTGTGTCTGTCGTGGAGGTTAGTGCTATTGTTGCTGCTACTGTTCAGGTACGACCCCTTCAAAGTAGATAGCTTCTGTCTCGGATGGATGCTGTACTACTGCCTGACAAAACAGCAGCTCTTCAGAAGAGCGCAGGCAACCGACGAGGGGTGGGTGATGCTGGCTTCGGAGCAGCAGCAGCAGTTGCGCGAGTTGCTGCAGCAGAAGAACGGCAGCAAACTCTCTCCTGCTGCTGTAGACTTCGTGTTGCAGCTCCTCAGGCCAGACCCAAACAAGCGACTGTCTATCTTAGAAGCCCTCAGACATCCATTTATTGCGAAGGGCCCTGTCTCTGCAGTGTATGCAAACACCCTGCTGCCACCGCCACCGCCGCCGCAGCAGCAGCAGCAGCAGAAGAAGGGGCAACAGCATCACACCGCAGCAACACCAGCAGCAATAACAACAACACAACAGCAAACAGAAATAGATGCAAAACGATTGCAGCAGGAGCAGCAGATGTACAAGCAACAGCAACAACACCAGCAGCAGCTAGCCAATTCCAGATTCCAACAGCAAAAGGCGCATGCGCTGCAGCAGCAAAGAATGCAGGCATATCAAAGGCAACAGCAGCAGCAGTTGCAGCAGCAGCAGTTGCAGCGGGCGGGAACGGCTACCAACGCAGATATTTGGACGGAGATGCGCCCCGAGCAGCAAGAATCTCACAAATATGACGGCTACCAGCAAGCAACAGATCATCATCTGCTGCTGCAGCATCAGCAGCTGCAACAGCCCCGTCGTGCTTCATTAAACGTTCCCACCCAGAATCTACAAAAGTCTCAGCAGCAACGGCAACAGCCACTACAGCAGCAGCAGCAGCCACCTTCGCCTCAGCAGCAGTCGCAACAGCAGCAGCAACAGAAACAGCAGAAGCAGAAACATTCTCCATGTCCTTGCTGCTGTACCTCGTCTGAGGATGAAAGGAGCACAGACACCTCTGCAGCACGCACTCCCTACGGCAGCACTGATGGTGGAAAGCGGCAGTTACCGCTCCTGCTGCAGCAGCAGCAACAGCAGCCGCAGCAGCAACTGAGCTACATAGGACCGTGTCTTATTCCCCCAAGTCTTGCTGAGCTCCAAGAGGGTTCAGTGGGGACTCGAGATGCAACAGCAACAGCTGTGGGAGTTGCAGCACGAGCTGCGGCAACAGCCGCCGCAGCAGCAACAACAACGCCATCGAGCTGTCTCTCAAATGAGTCTCCTTCCGTTTCTCTGCAGAGCTTCAGCAGTCCCGCGCTCTCTTCTGCCAGCACAGCTGTGAACACCAGCAGCAGCACCAACAGGATGCGGTGCTCTGGTTCTCTGCAGCAACAGCCAAAGAGCTGCAACAGCAAGCAAAGCATCGGTGCTGGAGCTGCTGTAGCTGCTGCAGCACAGCTTCCCGTTGCCCCTCGGCACGGAAGCAGCATTAAAGGGTTCCTATCTAAGAGCAGTATAAGCAGCACCACTAGCAGCACAACAACAAGCAGCTCGACAACCAGCAGCAACAGCAGCAGCGGCATGCATAATGTTCGTAGTGCATTGAGTGTGCTCCGGGTGGGCGGCCGTCTAGGCAAGGTGTTGAGCTCCCGAGGCAGCAGTCTCTTTGGAAGCAACAGCAGCAGGAACAGCAGCAGCGCAGCAGCAGCGAAGCTCCCCACACCGCCACCAATACAAGGGATGCACCACTGACCAGCTACGTCTGCAGCAGCAACGATATACCCGCAGCACTGGCAGTAGCAGCATCCGATGTTGCAGTTCGTGCTGCTACTTCTGCAGGGGCGACACAATGAGGAAACAGGTGCATGCATCTATATGGCCTTTAGATCGCCTGATTGATCTGTCCTTCTGTGCAGCAGCAGCTGCTCCTGCAGTATCAGCAGCATTTCCATAGAAGTTTCTCGAGGGTGTAGCAGCAGCAGCAACCACAACAACAGCAAGTGCGTCAGTCAAAGATGCTGATAAGGGCAGACCGCCCGGTGATTCCATTGAGAAGTTTGGCTGCTTCTGCTGCTCCCGCGAGCTGTGTTAGTCCCCGGGTTTCACGAGGAGACGCAACATGTGCTGTGTATGCCGCCTGTTTTTTTTTCTGCTGGACTACTGTCTGTGTTTGTCTCCTTCCCTCCCTCTCTTTCTGCCTGCTTGCGTCTCTCCTCTTATTTATGTCTCCTTATTTACCTCCGTCTCTGTCTCTGTCTCTCTATTTCTGCTTTTGTCTCCCCTTGCTTCTGGATATTTGTCCCTGCATCTGTCTCCCTGTTGCTTTTTGTCTACCATTTTCCTTACGTGTGTGTCTCTGCTGCTCTTTCTAAATAACTTGAGGGCTTTTTACGGCTCGTGTCTGTCTCCTCCGCTGCTGCGTGTCTCCTTATATCCAACCATCACATCTCCTTGCAGCTAGCTGTCTGTACACCCGCCGCCTCCTTGCAAAGGCTGCAGTTACTGGCTTCTGGTGTTTAGACACTCTACGCTAAAACAGGCCCCCTCCACTTTCTGTTTGCTCTCAAGAGCTCGGGTGTACATCCCACAACAATATCTTGCATTTCAGCTTTTTATCTCATCTTTTGTTTTCTGCTTCTCAACGCTTCCGACTGGCTCGTCAGAGGAGACGTGTCTCCCAAGCAGATACACCGCAGCAACACACATTTGCATAGTATAAGAGTGATATATGTACCGCATAAAATATGAGACTGAGTGTAAATGCATGTGTATGTGTAGCGGTGCATATACACAGTTAATTTGTTATCTTGAAATGGAATATATACGTACAAAATATCAGGCATTATAGGTGTAACAGTCATACCTACAACTGCCAATGGAGACACCTCTGCCACTAATGTTGTCACTTGGGACCACTGCAGCCACTCAACTAACAAACTCGAAGCACATGCTGCTGGTGATATTGCTACTGCCACTGCTGCTGCGGACTGCTAGCATCGCCGCCACTGCTTCTTACAACACTGCTCCGGTTGGTGCTGCTGGTGGGAACACTGTTGCCATTGCTGCTTCTCCTAATAGTGCTGCTGTTGTTGCTGCTGATGCTGCCAATGGTGCTACCGTTGTTGCGCTTGCTGCCACGCTTCGTAGCATGCTGCTGGCCATATCGATAATGTGCGAGTTCAGCGAGCAACACGCATCCACAACAGTCAAATAAGAAGAAATTCTGAGGACAGAATAATATAAATTCGATTTCAAACTCAAAATGAAGGACAAAACAAGTTAATAACTGGACGAACTGCCGTAGCAGACGGCGGCGGGGCCTCCACAGCTGACACGCAGGCGAGTGTGCCAGTCATTAGCATCGAGAGTGTTCATGCCCTTTCCATCTGTTTTCGTACGTAATTTAATAACGTACCCCATACTTACTTGATTAAATTGATTAATCAGTTGGTCCTTTTTACACGCATGGACGAACAGCTGTCAAACAGGATGAATATCCCACCAACAGCCGCCTGGGACCCTCAGCAATTACTGTTGCGCACCCCCCTGCTTGTCTATTAGCTCCTGGTGTACGTACAACTCAAGCATGGTGTTCTTCTGTTGCGTGTTGATACCGTGAAAGGACTAACCTGCGTCAATATCGTCCCGAGACGCCTGGGGACTAGACAGACAACAACAACTGTAGCAGAAGCAGGAACGCCAGCAAAAGCACAGGCAACAGAAGCAACGCCCCCATCGAAGAGCTACCCAACTGCAGAGCGGCCACGCACCACACCACCCTGCTGCGGTGTTTCTGCTGCTGCTGCTGCTGCTGCTGCGCGCTGCATGTGTAGCCTCCCAAATGACGCAACAGTCGCCAGGTGGCATTGCTCCTTGCACCTCCAGCAGCAGCAGCAGCATGGATGGGCCACGGTTGCTGCTGCTTATCGAGAGCGATGCTCTGTTGTTTGACTTGGCAAGTTTAGCCCATTGCTTGCTGCAGGGTTTGCTGCAGCAGCAGCTACCTGCTGCCGCAGTAGAACAATTGCTGCTGCCGGGTGTTCCTCTCGAGAAGGCAGCCGTTTCCTGTGCGTTTTCTGTGATTGAACAGCAGCAGAAGCAGCAAGACGGAGCACCGAAAACAGCGGCAACACGGCGCAAACGAGTCGTGAAACTGCTGGATTTCCTCCAGGGGAAAATAGCAAGGCTAGCAGACCCAGAAAGCGCAGCAGTAGCTGATGCAGCAGCAGCAGCAGTCGTATCAATAGGAGCAGAAGCAGCTGCGGCAAGCAGTTTGGCCGCAAGCTTTTGCTGCTGCTGGACTAAGGATCCCCTTAAAACCGCTGCAGTTGCACATCCCCGTAGCAGTATCAGCCCGTGCTGCAACCTGCGGAAAGCAAGTGGAAACAGCAGCAGTATAGGCAGCAGCAACACTAACGACAGCAACAGCAACGGCTTGGGAGTTGTCGATGCGGATGTGGATGTCGCACCTGCTGCAGCGGCCACTGGAGCTACGACGGATACGGCGGAGACAACAGCACCAGCAGGAACAGAAACAGCAGGAGCAGCAACAGAAGCAACAGGTGAAGGGTTTAGGCTGCTGCTGCAGCGCATCCTTGCATGCACGAAGCCTCACGTGGGGGCTTTGAGGCAACTTCGCCGCCTCTGCAGCGGCGACATCGCAGTTGTTTGCTGCAGCAGCAACGGGCATCTGCTGCAGCAGGTGCTGCCGCAGCAGGTGCTGCCGCAGCAGGTGCTGCTAGATCGGAACACTCATCCAACAGCTTCGGCACCAACGCCTTCTTCAGCAGCAGCGCCAGAAGTAAATGCAACGGTGGAAGCGGCACCAGCTGCAACTGCTGCCGCTGCACCCTTGCTGCGCTCCTGTCATCTGTTACATCTCAGCAGCAACAGCCCTGCAGACTTTGGTGCTGCTGTTGAGAGGGTTGCTGCTGCATTAGCTGGTCCTCCTGATAGCACAGCAACAGCAGCGAGGCCGTGCTGCTGCAACGGCTCATGCTGCTGCTGCGGCTGCCTGCAGCAGCAAGATAAGCAGCATACACAGATCCCTATCGTCGTTGCTGCTTCTACTGCTCCATTTGCCAGCCTTGCTGCTGCAGCAGGTGATGCCCCATAGCAAATCCTTCACCATGTTGCTCCTGTTGTCTCTGCTTGCTTGCTGCTTGCTTTTGCTGCTGCTCCTTGCCTTGAGCTTTCTTCTCTGGCTACTGCCATCACACGGCTGTAGGTGCTGATTCTGTTGTTGCTGCTATCGCTGCTGCTTATGCTCCTGCTGCTGTATCGTTCAGGATTTACTGTCTTTGCCCCACTTCGTGCCAAGGCCGTTGCAGAGCAGCAAGAGGTGACCCTGGAGCAGCAGCAGCATCAGCAGCAAGTCAAGTTGTTGAAGTGCTTCGAGTCTATGGACATTGAATCATTGCGCAGGACCTACGGTCTGAAGGAGCCACAGCCGCAGCAGCAGCGGGAGGAAGGGGATGATGAGATAGCTCCAGTGTATGGAGACCGCGTTGTGCCCCTCCGTGCTTTGCAGTTTCTTGACAGCAGCAAGGATGAGTCCTCAGCAATCCCACCAGCAGCAGTTGCAGCAGCGAGAAGGACGTGGCAAGGCCTCCTGCGCTGTGGTTGGGGCACCTGCTTTTTGCTGCAGGAGCCGCTGCTGCTTCAGGGTCTTGTGGTGCGTGGCTTTGGCAGAGGGAGCTCTTTGCTAGGAATCCCAACTGCCAATCTTTTGCTGCAGAAGCAACAGCAGCAGCAGCAGCAACAACAGCAGCAGCAACAGCAGCAGCTAGAGGAGTCCGACGCAACAGGGGATCTGCCCCTTGTGCCTGGTAGCTGCTGTTGCTGCTGTTGCTGCTGTTGAGTTTCTGCTGATGTCTCCCTGTCTTGTTGTTGCTGGGGCTGCTGCGGAATGACGTCGTGCTTCGCTGCGTTTGCTGCTGCTGCCGCCGCCGCCACTACTGTACATGAGGCTACTGAAGCTGTTTCGGCTGTTGCTGCTGCTGTTGGTGTTGTTGCTTCAGGTGTATACTTCGGCTGGGCGGCCCTCGTTCCCCCTGCTGCAGTAGCAGCACCTGCTGGTGCTGCTACTGCTGCTGCTTCAGGGGATGGTGCATACCCTGTTTGGCCGTGCAAGACGGTGCTTTCTTTTGGCTTTAACCCCCACTTCGGTAATAGCAAGGCTACAGTGGTGAGCAGCAAGTAAAAATGGGTTTATCTCAGGCAGCTTGTTTAAGGGTTTATCTAAGGTGTGTTGAAGGGGACTGCTACAAAAATCTAGATACGGTGCCGTTCTAGGGTTAGTCGGGACTCAAACTGTTGTGTGTGTTGTGGGGAAGATGATATGCCCCTAGATATCAGCTTCTGTATGCGACTCTGTCACCTTTTCTGCCTACCTCTGTTGCCGTTATAGCCGCTGCCTCCTTTGGTATCTTTGCCTCTCTTTCCTACTGTTGGTGTCCTCAAGGAGGGGGCTTGCTTGCCTCTGCACGGAGCGGCGGGTTTGGGGGCCTTCCTTTTTCTTGCAGGAGCCGCATTTGTTAGCAACAGGAGTTGGCGACATGAAAGGACAGCAAATGAAAATTGCCATTTGCGGATTCCTCCGTTCTGAGGCTGCCTTCCCTCAATTCTGTCCGTCGTCGTTTCCGTCTTCCACTCCATCTTCTCTTTATCTCTTGTTGATTGTTAGCTTTTGTTCTTATTTGGTATTTCGTGTTGTTTGCTATTTTCTGTTGTTTATTATTTCTGTGAGTTTTTGTTGTTTTGTTGTCTGCCGTTGTTTGTTTTCTTCTTGTTGCTGTTTTTTGTTGTCTGTTGCATCGGTTTTTTCTCGTTCTTCGTATGTTTCAGTTCCTCGTTTTCCTCAAATAAAGAAACAAGAACAAGGAGGAAGAACAAGAAAAACAATTTCCTCCCAATATTATTCCTTCTCTTCGTTTCTGTGTATTCCTGCTGTCTCCTCCCTCTTGTTCTGCTGCCCTTTGTGCCTCACCTTGTCTTTTTTGCCTCCTACTGGCCCTGTGTGTTTCTTGTTGTCCCTTTCCTTTCTCCTGGTTTCTATGCGCTTCCGGCAACCTCGTGTGTCTTATCGGGTCTCATGCATCCCCCACATGTGTTACTTCTCTTGTCTCCCCAGTGCTTCCCCATTTGAGAGAAGACAGGCAGGCTTGTGTACTTTCGCTACTGCTGGTGCTGCTTCTACTGCTGCGGCTGCTGCTGCTGCTATTAGCTGTGTTGAGAGCGAAATGTGAGGTGTTTGCAAAGTGTTTGCTGTGGTGTGTCTCCACCTCTCAGCGCACCTCATAGCCGCTATTCAAAGGGACTGCGACTTTGCTATCTCCGCTTTAGACCTCCCCCAAGCAGCAGCAGCAAAGAGTGCCTTGTTGTGACACTACAGCCTCCGCAACAAGGAGTGCCTTGCTCTGATATTGCAGCAGCAGCAACCGAAGAAGAGTTAGTGCCTCGTCTCTCGATATACTGCTGCAGGAGCACCAGCTGAATGCTTATGCGCCGCTGCTGCAACTGTCTGGCTGTATGTGACATCTGCTTCGTTCTTGCTGTTGCTGGTTCTCTTCTACCACAGGGCACCAGTAGCAGGCAGACCCCCGTGGGGTGTACGTACACAATTCTAGTCAGGGGCTCGCGCTTCCCTTTAAATTAAACAGTTAAAAGTTACCTAGTCCCTCAGTATTTGCATGCATAACACACTACAAAATCTTCTGCGAGGGGACTGAAGGCGACAGGCCCCGAACACACAGGGCAGCAGCTGGTGCAGCAGCTGCTGCAACAAGGACGCTACCGAGAAAGAGACAGTGGCGCAGCGAAGGAAACAGACAGCAGGCGGAGGCCCCAAGCCGCCTGATCAGAGACATTCCTGGCTTTTCAGCTGCATGCATGCATGTGGGCACGCATGCATGCATGCAGGCAGAGGTGCAGCAAAACAGTTTTTTAGCGCACTTGTGCGGGGACGGCAGCAGCTGCTGCTGCTATTTAGAGAATTAAGAGACTCATCGTGCATGCAGGGGCGTCGGTTGCCATGCCACAGCTGCATGCATGCACCTTTGGGGCCTGGGGGAACCTAGCCAAGCAGCACCGCTACAGCGCAGCAGACGAGTATATCATTGTTGCGCCACCTGCGAAGACTTCCCTCACTTGCGGCTGCTGCCGCTGCAACTGTTGCTGCAGCGGTTGATGCTACTCCCGCAGCAACGACAGCACCAGCAGCAGAACGGGCATACTTCATCTGTGTGCGGGGTGGACCCTGTTGGCCAGGGGCGCCTTATGCATTTTACTTCAGTGTCTAAGCATCAGCAGGTTTGTCTGCTGCTGGCGCTGCGGGTTCTTCTGGCTTCTCAGCTGCTTCGGGTTCTGCTGGCGCTGCAGGTTCTTCTGCTGTTGCAGGCGCAGCACCGGCAGCAGGAAGGGAGGCCTTTGGTACAGGAGGAGGAGGGGGGCTCTTTAGAGGAGGGGGGCCTGACATCTCTACACTGATCTGCTTGTTGCCAGGCTGTGGTGCTGCAGCAGCACCTTCGGCAGTAGCAGCAGGAGCCTCCGCAGCAGGAGCCTCCGCGGCCTTCTCCGGAGCAGCAGCTTCTGCAGGAGCATCTGCAGCGGGAGCTTCAGCAGGCGCTTCGGCAGGAGCAGCTGCCTCCTTGGTCTCAGCCGGCTTCTCCGCTGGAGCAGGAGCAGGAGCAGGCGTCGCTGCTGGTGCTGCGGAAGGCATACAACACACGCACACACCAGCCTTTAAATGCTACTAAGCTACGGATAAACAGTTTATCTCGGAAAATACTGCAAAACAGAGGCAATAACACCGGTGGACCGGTCCTGCTGCTGCTTCGGCGGCAGCGGCGCTCGACGACGACGTGACAGTGCAGCAGTAACGCAGGCAGCAAGAGCAGCCCCAATGGCGGACTCAATACACATTGCATGCAAACAATCAGGAATTCAATGTATGGCAATGGATAAGTTCAACAATCAAGCCGCTATCCCTGCTACTGCTGCTGCGGGGAGGCGCCAGCAGGACGTCGGCCGCGGGACAGGGAGAGCGATGGTGGAAAACACATATGAGGGCTTAGGGTTTAGGGTTCGTGGCTTTGAAGATTTACCCTGAGCAGATTGCTGCCTCTCTGCAGGGGTAGATCCCTGCTTGCTGCTAACGCAACCCATCTTGCTGCTGATGCTGCTGATGCTGCTGATGCTGCTTATGCTGCTGCTCCCTGTGCGCCTCAGAAGGAGCACCAATGACACGAAACAGAGACAGAAAGAACGCGGGAATAAGACCTGGAGTATGTGCCAAAAAAATCAACTACAAACGTGATACCACGGTATGTGCTGCAGCAGCAGCAGCAGCAACAGCAGCAGACCTATGGCTGCTGCTGCGCTGCAACACCCACCCCCGTACCCAGCAGCAGCAGGCAGGCTTCCGCGGCGCGCGTGCGTCCTTTAAGGTCCTATTTGTGTCGATTAATTGAGTAAAATGTTCTCAGGAGTTTTAAAATTCAATTAATCCTTTTTGTTTGTTTTCCTTCTATTGCTGTATATCATCGTCCTGGGCCGCTGGAGCGGGGGTCGTCGCTCAACTGCGGGGCGCACCAGACCAGCAGAAGTTGCTCTTCCTGCGGGTTCTCTATAATGCTTCTAAAGTTTGCAATGTGGAAATAAATGTTTTATTCAACTATTTAGATGCAGAATAGTCCTTTTTTTGCCGTGATTCCCTTGTCAGTAGCCGTGAAGCTTCTTCTCGCTGGCCACAGCGGCTCCAGCTAGCGGTCCACCCGCAGGCGGGGCGTTTTGTGTGCGCACCGCCCCGTGTTCATACCCCTTTATACAATGTTTTTGCTTTTTAAAATGTGTCAAAAGTCACTTCGCCGTTTTTGTAACAGGATAAACCAATTTCCGGCATTTTGTCGGCTGAACCACATTGCAGATCGGACGGGTAGCAGGAGAAGGTCTGGCTGACCGCAGCACAGTTCTTCACCCTTAAAGAAACTGCTGCACTCAAAACCCCAGATGCTAAATAATAAATCCCCAGGGAAGCAACAGGCACTGTAGAACAAACATATACATTCATGCAAGTACCGCGTTGCTACAGAGGCACACATCTGCGCCTCCCCACACTAAATGCTGCGTGCATCGATTGTATAATACACCTCCCGCATAGAGAAAAATGCTGTTCCAAAAGTCCAATTAGGATAAAACACCCAATTAACTTTTCGGCTTATGGTCTAATGCCACTAGTTGCCTAACAGCCGTTCCAAAAGCCTCCTCCCATCGTGGGGTTACAGCTGAGAGCGGACGAAGAAATCCTGCTGTTGCAGCGTGCAGCGAGGAGAGGCGCTGCATGTAGCAGCACCAGCACCAATCCTCCAGGCCAAATAGACATGATAGATGCCAGTGATAGTCAGCAGAGCTGCAGCAGCGGCATTGGTAGCAGTATCAGGTCTACAGTGTACAGACAGCTACGCACTTCCTGCTGTACTGCGCTGCTGCTTAGTGCTGCTGCAACCTCCTGTTGCATGCGCAGCGATGGCCGCGACCCGTGTTGCTTTTCGCTGGTCCACAGTTGCTGCAGCCCTTGCGTGCGCTGGAGCTGGAGCTGCTGCCCTTGCTCCGCTCCCTGCTGCTCCTCCACATCCCCCCCCGCTGCTGCAGCGCGAAGTGCTGCGCGTGCTGCTGCTGCTGCGGCGGCTTTGCAACCCCCTAGCAAGTACACAAGCAAGTCCCAGGTGTGCTTCTGGTGCTGGGCACACGGATAGAATCCAGCAATAACTGAGACAACAAAACGGCCGAGTTGCAGCTCCTCAGACGGGGCCAAGGAATACGTAGGATACGCTGCTGCTCCGGCACCTGCTGATGCAGCAGCTGTTGCTGTTGCGGCTGTGTTCGTTGCTTTTGTTGCTGCTGCATTTGTTGCTATTGCATCAGCCAGCAGCAAATGCAACTGAATCGCTTCCGCCAACAGGCGCGGAAATTGAAGGTGGGCAGCACAGATGGCCGTGATGCCCACAAGGCCACGCTGCTGTCGCTGCAGCTGCTGCAGCACCTGTTGAGCCATTTGTTCCTCTTGCTGCTGCTGATTCTGTTGCTGTTCATCGCTGCTGTGCAGTGAAGGAGACTGTCTTTTTTTTATCAAAAGGGACAACATTCTTCTCTGCAGGGTTATCGCCTCGCAAAGACAGCTGGCTAGAAGAGAAACAAAGCTGCCTGCTGTTTGAATCTGTTGTTGTTGCTGCTGCTGCAGAGGGTGTGGCGGCTGCTTGATTTGCTGCTGTCTAGTCTTCGGAAGATGCAACGATAGGGATACGGAAGCCTCTAATATACGCGCCAAGTGCATGCAGCTATTCAGGCCAAAAGCAAACGGGTCAGCTTGCTGCTGCTGTAGTAGCAGCAGCTGTTGGTGCTGCTGCTGGCGGTGCTGCCACACCTGTGGAGTAACCAACAGGTGCAGCAGAAGCAGCATTTCCTCTGGAACTTCTCGGGTGGCAGTGGCGTACGCAGATAGAAGATGCGCTGCCTGCTCCAATCCCAGTTCTAATTGTTGCTTTTTCTGCTGCTGTACTTGTTGCTGCTGCAGCCGCTGCAACAGCTGCTGCTCCACCCTTGTCCACTGGTGACCTTGGAGACGACGGGGGAAACGGCTTAATGCTCGGAAGCAAGCCACCAACTGAGAGACACTTGATTCGTTCTGCTTCGCTTGCTGCCGTGATTGTTTTTGCTGCTGCTGCTGCGGGCACTGCAATACATGCTGCTGCAGTAGCTCTACGAGCCGCACAGGGACTGTGGGGAGCCTGCTGCATACAGCCAGCAGGGCTGCTGCTGCTTGCCCGGGGAGGTCGGCCCTCTGCTGCTGGTGGTTCTGGTGATGCTCGAGACGATACAGCAGCACGTCGCAGCTGGCAGCCACAGCAGCAGCAGCAGCTGTGCGAACCAACTCTGACGAAGACACGGTGCAAAGGAGCCCTGCATCTGCTGCGGCAAAGGCCAGGAGCTCGTTACCGAATTTCTCTGCATTCATTTGGGTATACCTACAGAGGTGCAGCAGCAGCCGCTGCATCTCTGCGTCTTCGCTGCCTGCAGCAGCAGCAGCAAACGACGAAAGCAACACTTTGGCGGTGGTGGGAGACAGGGAGGAGAGATAGCTTGATGCTTCGATAGACTTCGATGTGCAATGCAAAGAATGAAGCTGCTGCAGCAGCGCAGGGGCAAACTGCTTCATCAGCTGCTGTTTCTCAGCGGCAGTGAGGCTGCAGCGAGCTACAGCAGCACAGCCCAACGCTATGTTCTTCAGCCGCTGCGCCGTCGCCTCCCCAGCATCAGCTGACCAACTGCTGCTCGTGCTGCTGGTGCTCACCAGAAGCAGCTGCGGCAGCAGCACCCGCCACACAGGTGCATGTGCAGCAGGCAGTCGCGGTGATGTTCGCGCCAAAGACGTAGCCAGAGCCGACAACTCGCGCTGCACTGCAGCAGTAGGAAAAGCCGAAGCAGCAGGAACAACCACAGCAGCAGCAGCAGACCGAGGCGACAGGCAAGACCTCGCAGCAAGCGGCGGGAAATGCTCTTTTAGAACACCAAGCAAAGCGACAAGAAACCACTGTGTCCAATCTAGCCAAAATGCGGAGCGTCTGCTGTTGTTGTTGCCGCTGCTGCAGGTTTTGCTGCTACTGTTGCAGCCGCCACTGAAGTTGCTAGTGCTGTTGCTGCTGTTGCTGCAAGCCTGAGTTGGAACATTCGATAAAACGAAGCGGCAAAATGCGCGGGCAATCCGAGCCGCGTCCGACAACGAAGGCCATGTGCTCCTGTGCTGCCTCTTCTGTTGTTGCAGCAATTGCTGCTGCTGTAGCTGCTCCTGCTGCTGCTGCTGCCAACATCGCCGGACTTGGTACGCAAACGACATGGCCGCCCATTCAGGAAGTTCCCAACTTGTGTCAGATGCTGCAGCAAAGGCAGCAGCAGCAGCAGCAGGTCCTCTCAGGCTCTGGGAATCGGCAGCTAGCTGAAGCAGCACTGCAGCAAGCATGTGGGGAATTGAAGCCCCAACAGTGTCGGCAGCAAACGGCGACGCAGCAGCAGCAGCAGCAGCACCTTTTACTGCTGCTTCAGGAGGAGGTATGTACGCTAAAAGAGGCAGCAGCCGCAGCAAGTCGCGAGGGTCATAGTGCGCCACACGCTGCAGCGCGTGCAGCCCGGCCCGTTGGAGAAATTCAACTACTGGTCCGACATCTTGCTGCTGCTGTTGTTGCTGCTGTTGCTGCTGCCTGTAGTGAAAGGCTAAGCTGACACCCAACATGGCGACGTCTCTGTCGGGCCATCCATCCAGCAGCGGGGTGCAGTAAGAAGCAACCTCCCGCAACATTGCAGCATTCACTGCATCAGCTTCTGCGCTTCTGCTGCTGCTGCTGGGGCGGGTGAGGCGGAAAACGGCCTGACATATCTGCTGAGGAGACAAAGAGGGGAGACTCTCCACGAGCTGCCCTTCGTTGGACTGGCCTCTACACCCCAGGGATCGCTGGAGCTGATGCTCGGTCTGCAAATGGTGCTTCTGCTGGTACTGGAGCTGCTGCTGTCGTTGTTGCAGATGCTCCTCTGTAGTGGCGGGTAAGGCCTCCACAGCAGCCGCACACGAGGCGCATTCTCCTCCGCTGCCGCTTCCTTTGCTGCGGCTGGACGTGAAGCTGCTGTCGCTACTTCCACTTCGGCCCCTTAGTACTCCAACTGGATCTCTGCTGCCAGTGCGGCTGCTTCTTTTGCCATTGCTCTTTCTGTGGTAGGAAGAGTCCCCCTCCGTCGCCACTGGGATCGTTTCGTACCCCAGTCTCCACTGCCCAGAAGCTGCAACCTTCTTATTACGGATGGCCCCACTCAGCCTACGTCTGCAGCTACTGTTGTTATTGTTGCTGTTGCTGCTGTTGCTTCTGTAGTTTGTGTCGGTTACTTTGTGTGGTTTTTGCCTCACCCAGTCAGTTACAGCACGGGATAAAGCGACATGCAGCTGGTACGGGAGCCTTCTACGCTGCTGGAGCAACTGTAGCTGAAACTGAAACAGGGAACGGTGCATCTCTGGCTGGTGTCCCAGCGTAGAAGCACCAGGCGGAGTTGCTTCAACAGCACGTGCCCTTTCGCCGCCACTATGCTCCTGCCACCGCAAATCCAGAAACCTAAACACTAAATTCCAATTTCAGTTAGCAGGACAAAACGCAAAGCATAATAGTTGGGAAATGCAGCACAAGTATATCAACGGGAGCATTTGGAACTCTAGATTTCAAAAGCGTGTTGAGCCTCGGAGGTAGCATTTTAGACATTATCTCGCGCCTCCCCACCTTTCCTTGCTTTTTTCATCACAGCAAAATGCTTTTGCTTGAAACTTCACAGTGTTTCAAAATTTAGGGTTCCTTTTAAATAGCCAAACCCTAGAAGGCCCTGAAACGAGACATGCCCCTGGTGGCCCCTTCCCTTTCGGGGGCCCACTGGGCAGCTGGGGCTGCAGCCTGCAATCTAGCACATCTAAGTCTGGTCATCTGAAGCTTGCGTTTGCCTTTGCAGACGTCTCATTTGTTTATTTGGAGTTAAGTTAATGGACTTGAAGTGTAGAGTCGTCTAGTGGGCAATTTTAGATGAGGAACTGAATGACACACACTCACACACACACACACACACACAAACACACACACACGCCCCCTGACGACAATCGCGGCGGCGGCGCAACACTTCAGGGCCAAAGATATACACCGTAAACCATAAACCAGGAACTTCCAAATTTGGCGCTTTTACCTGCAACGGAATGTGGACCTTTAGCTGCTAGATTGCAAGCTGCTCGCAGCCGTGGCCTTGCACGGGGCCCTGCAGACAACTGGAGGTCACCGAGGCGATAGTCGCTACACCCCGGACCCCAAACTCGAAACTCTCAAAACCTAATCCCTAGACACCGGAGAAGCCCCATATATTTGCAAACTTTTAACCATAAGCACGCTAAACCTTAAGCCCTAGGCAATACCTAAACGCCAACCAGTTTGACGGTCGGTAAATCGCAAGCCCTGGGAATTCGGTGGAACATTAAACCCCAAGCACTTGCTGAACACCAAATCATAAACATTTTCTGTGCCGTAAGCCGTATACACTGAGGGTTATAATGTATGATTTCGCCAAACAGTGCATGCTTTCTCCCGTATTTAATTCCATTTGGGCTCCTTGCATGGCGCTGTATCCCTTCATCCTACACCACACATCTCTCGCAGTGTCTTCTTCACGAAGCCCAGAAAGGAAGGGGGACAGCGACTGAGGGCACCTTCACGTCGGGTGGCACCTTAGAGCAAATCCCATGTTTCATCTAGTTTTCGCCGCAGCTAGCTGGAGCTAGCTGGTCAACTATTTGCAGTTAGATGGGGACGGAGGCGTTAACGGAAGTCCAGAGGAGAGATGATGGCAGACCTGGGAGGACTTCAAGGTGCCTCTTCCCTCTCATGCGATGCTGGAGTAGCGTCTAAACGCAGGGTTTAGGGTTTAGTGTGTGTGGCCTAGGGTCTAGGGTTAACGGTTTAGAGCGGCACATTTCTTGCGTCTGAGCTACGCAGATGGCCATAACAAAGCAGCGCTCCAGGAGGCGCTCTGGGCTGCGCGATCAAACGCTCCCGCTGAGGTTGCTGCTGCAGAAGATAAGGATAATTTCCCCTTCAGGCCTCGGATCTCTGCTGAGTCACAAGTGCTGGCTGCTGCTGCTGCCGCAGCTGCTGCTGCAGCAAGACCAGCGGCAGAAGCAGCAGCTACAGGAAATTGCAATAGTGTTCACTTGCGGCTGTACTACCAAGGCCTTGAGGCGAAAAGAAAGAAGCAGCAACAGAAGCTTTTGCTGCTGCGCCAGCAGCAGCTGTTGCGATCCCGTTTCAACACTTTATCCAACAGCAGCAGCAGTAGTAGTAGTAGTAGCAGCAGCAGCAGGTCCTATGGTCTCCTCATATCTCAGCAGCTTTATGAAGATGCGCTAATTCGGAGGCGGAAGCACCAGCAGCAGTTGCTGCTGCTGCAGCAACAACAACGGCGCCTTAGCAGCTCATCCAAGTTAACGCCAGCCTCCCTCAGGGTCTTCAAACACCGGCTGTCTAGGGAGCTAAAGTAAATACTAAATCCATTTTCCCCAGCACGCCAGAAGAGTTGCCCACACAGTCGTAAACTCTAAGGGCTAGGTGCTGCGGCGTGCATGCAGGCAGGCCTACGCCAGCCTTCAGCAGCAAAATTCAGAAGCAGCTGCCCTCCCGGCCTCTTTGCTCCCTGACTGCTTGCAGCTGTTGGGAATCTTCCAGCATCAACATCCACAGCAGCAACAGCAGCGAGAGCAGCTACCGGAGCAGCAGCAAAACAATAATCCACTTCTGAAGGCTAGGAAGTTGCTCAGCACTCAAGAAGCTGCAAGCAAAGAGCTCGTGAGGTCTCCTAAACCCTGTAACCTAGACCCTAAGCTGCTATCGGTTAGCATTTAACGCGAGAAGACTTCATCCTGAGGGTTTTGGCTTTTCGGAAAATGAATGGGGTTTAGGCTTCAGGACTACGTGTTTGGGATTCAGAGTTTTATGCCTGCAGCGCCTTGTGAAGAGGCTGTGTAGCTTGCTGGACCCCGAGGGCTTGGGGATGGTATATCGCGAACGACTATTCCAGTTCCTTGCAGGTCTCATATCGGGCTGCAGCAGCAACGCTGAAGCCACCAGTTCGTGCGGTTGCGGTCAATGCATCAGGAGTAACGGCAGGGACCTCACCTGCCAAAGCAGCGGCAGCAACACAAGCTGCCCACGGGTGGCAATAGCAACGAAGAGATTGGAGGCGATGGGCCTTAGAGAATCAGAAGCGAGAGGCAGCGCCTCCAGCGCTGGGGATGCACAAACGCAGCTGGAGCAAGTGTGACGCACTCCTGCTACTGTTGTTTTCGATGTCGCTGCACCTGCTGAAGTCCATTGCTGCTGTGTTTTGGATGCTTTGGCTGATATGCTTGAGGCGATTGTTGCTACCGTAGCAACAGTAGCCTCTTAAAGCAGCTACTGTGGATGCTGCTGCGATACCCGCAATATCCTTCTGAAGTAGCTGGTGTGCTGCTGGGGCGTACTTGGTCTCCCTCAATAGCCGTTGGCTGCCTTAATCTATCCAGCCATGTAACAGCACGGTTTTACACAGTGGAAACTGCGATGTTAGTTAAGGTTTGGGGCCGAAGGCTGCAACACCAGCAACATCGCGTAAGGTGTATTGTTGTTTATGAGGCCTGCAGGAGACTCGCCAAGTGTACGCTGAGCTTCAACGGCTAAGCCGTGATTTCTTGCCGCTGCTCTTGAACCGACAGAGGAGCTGTTTCTTCCACCACAAAGCTCCGCGTAAGACTTTAAGGCCCACAATTTGGGGTTAAGAGAGCAAATGTTAAGGACAGAGCTTTTGACCCTTTTCGCAGTCCGTGGGTTAGCAGTTTTTGCTCAGCGAATGCATCTCCACCCGTGACGAGTATGTGGCTTTTGGAAGCTTTAGGGTTTGTTCCAAGGTCAAGGGTTGGTGGTCTGGGGGTTTAAGGGTTTACGGCTTAGTAGCTGCCGTAGGAGCCGTTGTCTTCAGAGCAGTCATCACCACCGATGGCGCAGCCCAAGGCCCGCTGCAGCTCCGCGGCAGTTACCGAAAGGCTCCTTGAACGCGGTGGGTGGTGATATATGCCTCGTAGACCTTCCCGTTTGGATGTGAGAGTTGAGGGCTTAGGGTTTCCTTCCGAGAGAAGTACAGGAGTTGTCGGTGCACTGCTTGAAAATCAGCATATCGTAGAGCGAAAGGAGTGGTTTCCATAAATCGCTCGGCTGGATAGGCTCTGAGGCTAGGGGCATGACGCGTAGTGGTCCGAGTCTGTGCACAGGGCGGCAACGGCAGGCAAGAAAAGAGATCCTGCAGCAGCAGGTGCTGCAGCAGCAAGAACAGCGACAGCAGCAAGAACATCGACGACGCGGGTGCCCGCGGCTCTACAAGCATGTGGAGCTATTGCCGGTGGGACTTCTGGGACCTCTAAGGGCCAGAAGGCTGCAGAACGAAGGAGTCTATGCTTTGCGGTCGAAATGTTATGCTAGCATTCTGCCAATTGACATTCGCACGTTATTTCAGATGTGTCAATACACCAGCCATCCCATCCCGCCACATTTCACCTGGGAATCCATATGCCTAGGGCTGCGCAAATAGGTGCACTTCCAGTTACGCTTCCCATGCAGATAAAATCGCGAAAGGAAACTGCAGGGCTGTGATGGTTAGGGGGTTTCACCAGAAACATTTCTACTACAACGGATTAGGATGGGATGTCAATGCTTTTCAACAGTGAGCGTTGCATCTGCAGACGGCAAACGGGGTATCGCGACACGTGCAGTTATTCGAGCTGGCGCACTACCAGCAGCAGCAGCACCGGCAGCAGCAGGAGCTCCGCCAGCAGCAGCAGCAACAAGATGATCTGCGGGAGTGCACCTTTAAGCCCAGCCTGTTGCCATCTCACAAGTCCTCCCGGTGATTATCAGAAGTCAAAAAGCTCTTCCATCCTTCTTGCATCCTCTCCTACACCTTTTCCCTCGTCGCTGCTTAACTAGATGCGTGTTTTGTCTCCCATCCACGTCACACTCTATGTAGCAGTGTGTGTACACTTCAACAAGCAGTGGGTTGTGGTTGGCAGACCAGTAGACCGTGTTTGTCGAGGTGCATTGACAAGAGAAAATGTGGGAGTAGATACACCAAAAATAAACAAGGGTGCCACTGAGCTGTACCACCAAGTCTGCCTGCTGCTGCACGCATTAGCTGCCAACCCTCCACCCAAAGGGGTATGCTTGTTGCGGAGTGTTTGTACACTCTGTACAGAGTGGTGTGCATACATACGCGACAGCACTCACTCCCTAAGCATGGGGCAGTAGTAAAAGCCAACGACACTATGCGTCCGCCACAGCACGAGATGTGTCCATATGAAGCTAGCTTTTCTTAGTTTGTTGCTGTCACATTTCCACTGTGCTGCCTTTCGTGTCTCCTTAGGCGCCTGGGGCCAGGGACCTCTCCCCCTGAAGGTTTCGGGGCTGCAGTACAGCGACTCCGCCGTGGCGCTGCCGATAGAGATCGCCTCTTCAGGTTTTACCAGAACAGGCAAACCCTAACCCTAATTCACAAATCCCAACTGCCCGTGTGTGCCTTCTCTCCTCAAATACCGTGCAATGCCCCACAATAAGATTTCGCAAAGCCTGAACCTGCCAACGTCTACTCGCACGCCCGCACATTCTTTCTATAATACTACAATTGGAGCTTCTTAGGCACTCTGAGACCAACGGCAGGAGGAAAGGGTCAGGCTTGACAATAAACCATCAGCTGTTTGTCTCCCCAGACCCACAGTTCTCATGTATATCTGTCCATCAGGCTAGTGGAGACGCCCTCCCCTGCGCGCAAGGAAGAGGGCCCCTTCAGTTTCTCCGAAGGCCACTACAGCCTGCGTCTAGCCCCTGAAGTCTTCGGTGTTTCCGTCGAAGTGCAAAAGGGGCGGCTGGTTCGCATTTCCATCCGTGAAGGCGAAGACCCCAGAGCAGCCGTACTCATCCCCACACGCTGGGCTGATGGCCCACAACCCTGCATCAACACGAATGTTTATTTCATCAGGCAGACATCAGCATTGAAAAGCAGCAACTGACGAGTCACCCTGAAAGAACAGGCTGTGTGAGAAGCCGTGTTGCTCGGGAGGTTGCAAAGCCGCCAGGCATTTATTGTTAAAGGCTTAGGGTTCAATGTTGAAGCTTGGGTGTTCGGCATTCAGGTGTATTCCTTCTGCCGATCCCATGGCCTGCATGCAGAGGAGCAGGAGTGGCTGAATAGCATAGTTTTGAAGGAGATGGCCTCGCGGAATCTCTTAACCCTTGTAGATGAAGAGGGCATTGGGGGGAGGCGACCGCAGGCCATCGAGACGTTGCAGGGGTCTTCCAGGCCCCAGCAGCACGAGCGGTGGCTTCGACGGCTGTCGAAGGCCTCCAACGAGCCTCTTAAAGGCTCGAAAACACCAGGGAGTGCAGACGCTCCATATGTGCTGCCAAAGGGTTCCGAAGTAGAGGTGCACAGCTCGGAGGTTCATGAAAGGCCGCTGCAGTCGCGGTCCCCGGGCACAGAAATGCAGGAGAGAGGCACATTGTACAGCTCTGTGGAACACTGGGGAATACACCAGGAAACGTGCTCCCTCTTGGCAGGAAACAATTCATCTATAGACCACGAGTACAAGCCCTTCGAGCACAACGACTTCTGGGACGTCCCCTTGCCAGCCTCCACTGACTTGCCGGGAAACAAGGCGAAAGGCACTCCTCCGTCGATCTACTTACAGCCGCAACCTCAGCGGCAGCAGCAGCAAGAACTATATGGGGAACAAAAGTGCGAGACGAAACAGGGACTGCGGCAGCAGCAGCAACACCACCAAGAACAATTCGAGCACCAACAGCCACAACAGCTGCCGACAGATCTACCCCACGCGCTTCGTAATGTCCTGTCCCCGGCAGCCATTGCTGCTGCAGAAAAGACCCCACCGCAACGGCAGCAGCACCAGCAACTTGTGGAAAAGACAGGGGAGGAGGACGGAAAAAAGCAGAAGCAGCAGCGACTACAGGAAACGCCTAGCACCAATGAAAACCGCAGCCTCCGTTGTCTGTCCATCTTCCCTCCTGAGGCTGCGGAGGCCGTACGTGACTCCCCCAACAGCAGCAGCAACTGTAGGGAGGTGCTTCAGACCCCTTCCAGTGATGAATCATGGGGATGGCTCAGTCCTGTGGCAACAGAAAGAAACCCTTGAACTTAAATAAATGCAGTCTCTCCTGCTGCCTAGATGGCAGATTTCTCCCCTTCTTTATAGTCTTTTGCGTCTTCTGTGGTCAATCATTAACCTCAGTGGCTGATAACACTACAGAGGTTTCAGGAGTAAGAACATCAAGAGAAGGGCACTGTGTTTGCCCTCTTCAACGTACATGGCCCACACGATATACTGGCAGACGGGGGTCCGGCAAGAAAGTACCATCCTACTGGGCTCCCTGAAAATGCAAATTGCACGTGCATTTTCTGTTGCCTCCCTCCTCCTGCCACTGCTATTATTGCTGCTTGTTTCTGCTGGAGTTGTTACGAGGTGACACAATGTTTGCTCTTGCTGGATGCTGCCGTTAAATTCGCTTGAAGGGAAAGTGGGGTTGAGGGTGAGTTGGCTTGGTCCCGACGCTTCATTGTTCTTCAACGAGTAGTTCTTGAATGCAACGATGCTGCTGTTTTTCACCGTTTTGACCCATATTTCTTCTTCTGTTGGAGGCCGTTCATGAATTCGCAACGGCTCTAGGGGCCAGCTGGGGGAGGAACTTTGCCACTGTTATAGACAAAGAGGTATGCGGAAAGTGCACATTAGTAGATATCTGAACAACAAACAAAACGCTGCAACAACTCACAGGAAACGTACCTTTCTGCAGAGTGTAGTCCAGCATACACTGCTGCTGGAACAACCGGTAATCGTTATTGGCTAGTGCTGTAACGTCAAACCAGGAACTTACGAAAGTAGTCATTGGCCCCCCGAGAGTACAAACAGACTGGAGACAGTGTTCCTAAGAGCGCTGTCCAAAGCTCTCCACATTTTTATTGGAGCACTTGTCCGCTATCGGCCTCACATAAGATATTCTGCGCCCAAATCTTAAAACACGCTACATAATATAAGCACGCTGAAGGGTTAACGACAAGCAGGACAAAGGAAGAAACTGTCAATGAAACTAGGCTCCCCAGCTGCAACGAGAACTGTAGTGCACCGCCAAAGAATCCAATTGTTAGACTGCGTGTCATATGTCTTGGGCTCCACAGAAACGAGCTTATCTCCCTTCCTTTCACCTGAGAAAGTCAGCAAAATGTCCTGGGGATGGTGGCGAGAGGCGGATCCACTGCTTATTTACGTAAGTCCCTCCTGCACATGCTTCCACGCTCAGCAGGAAGCATGTTCAAAAGCTCAACTGCACGTGCCACCTCCGGGGGTACGACGCTAGAGGCGTCTTCTAGAACGTAAAAGAGGCATCTCGCTTCAGGCGGTGCTGAGCATTTTGCTCCAGACTGGCCAGAGTCTGCTACCCTATGTAAAGAGCAGGAAGGTGGCATCGGGCTTTCGACGTATCTCCAGGATGGCTACTGGATGCCCGAAATGTTAATGAATGCACCGAAGGGGTCCCCTGGCACTCTCTGTAATGAGTTGTACCTGGGAAAGTTGAAACTGCCACGTCGGTCGGTGCGCCCAGAGAGCCTAGAGACTAGGGATTGCACACCTGTTTTTCGATCGATGCATAGGATGGCTACTGGAGGCAAATAAGTGTCTAGCCATTGCCCACATTGTTAATGAATGCACCGAAAAGGGTTCTCTGACACTCTTTGTAATGACTGTCCCCCATCTTACTGGTAACTACTGGCATCTGCAGTAAAATCGAGTGTTGTAATGATAGCATTGCAGCCAGCGAGAACTACTTTCATAGAGAAGGCAATTCGTGAAGAACACCTTTTTCCTTGCTAGACGTCCATATCTGCTCCTAGCAGAAATTGCAGTAGCAGTAACCACACCAGCCAACGCCGCAGCAGCATCAGGCGTAGCAGCAGGAATAACGGTAACAAGAATAAACAATGCTGCACTCGTTGCTAATTCTGCAAAGCTCCGGTGCCGCTGCCTTTGTATGCAGCACTACCGAGCTGTTACGGGCAATCGGCTTAAACTATTTGGCGTTTTCCCCATGAACTAGCAGACAATGTATTTGACTACATGACAAATTGCTGCATCAAAATTACTTCCAAAACTTACGAGGGGAAGGAGAGGCAGCAGCAGCAGCCGCAGCTCCTCTCTTGCTGTTGCGGCTGCCGCAGAGGCTGCTGGCAGCGCAAGCAGCGCATGCGTCGGTAGTAGGTCTTGAAAGAGGCTGCTGTAGGAGCTGCTGCAATTAATCGCCTATTGTGTACTTTCTTTGTCTGCGTTTAGAGGCAGGGAGCACAGAGCTGCACTCTCCTCCGTCTGCAGCAGCATCAGCAGCCGCAGCAGGAGCAGCAGGCGACACTCCTTAGGTGCTAGGCGCTGCTCCAAAGCGGCTAAACGAGGGTTTTGCATACTTTTGAGCCATACAGACACCTTAGGCCCTGTGCACCAACACAGGCTGAGCCCCGCTGGCCCCCACCGGCTGCTTGTGATGCCACTGACAACGCGCAGCTATAGCAGCAGCAGCAACAGCTGCTGATGAGAGGCAGGTGAGGTGGGAGTATCTCCAAGTCTTCGCCACAGCAGCAGCTGCAGCAGAGACCGCAACAGCAGATGGGCAGCCATACACGCAGCGCTGCGGCGACGTGCTACAGGGGCGGGAACAGCAGCTGTAGCAGCAGCTGTAAGAGCAGCAGCATTCAGCTGCAAGCAGCAGCTCTGCAGCTGCTGTGCCTCATACAGTAAGAACATCAGCACCCTCAGGGCAGAGCAGCAAAGCTGCTGCAACGAATGGGATGCGACAGTCCCCGCGCAGCCTCGCTGCTGCTGCGGATTCTAGCAGCAGCAGCAGCAGCAGCAGGGCTTCCCCAGCAGCACCTGGAGGGAAGGGTTCAGTTGTCACCCAAGCATCCAGCGGCCGTTTTGCATCTGCATCAACAGCAGCAGGTGGTAACTCCCAGCAGCAGGGCCATGTGGGGCTGCCACGTCGCGGCAGTTCTTCTGCTGCCTCCTCTCCTGCTGCAGGGCCATTAGCACCCTCGCTAGCCGCAGCGATCTCAGCAGCAGGAGCAGGAGCTGCGGCACCAGTAACAGCAAACTCTGGAGCAGCTCCAGGAGGAGCAGCAGCAGCAGCGCCAGCAGCAGCAACAGCAGCAGCGCCAGCAGCAGCAACAGCAGCAGCGCCAGCAGCAGCAACAGCAGCAGCTCCAGCAGCAGCAGCAGCAGCAGCAGCAGCAGCTCCAGCAGCAGCAGCAGCAGCAGCGCCAGCAGCAGCAGCAGCAGCAGCGCCAGCAGCAGCAGCAGCAGCAGCGCCAGCAGCAGCAGCAGCAGCAGCAGCGCCAGCAGCAGCAGCAGCAGCAGCAGCGCCAGCAGCAGCAGCAGCAGCAGCGCCAGCAGCAGCAACATTAGCAGCAGGGGACGATGTAGAGTGCAGTGTATGTCTTGTCAAGGGTTCCGAACCCCACAACAGCATCGTTATCTGCAGCGGGTGCGGTGCAGCAGTTCATCAGTATTGTTATTCTCTCTTTACGTTGCCACAGGCTCCCTGGTTCTGCTGTCTATGCAGCTGGAAGCAGAAGCAACAGCAACTGCAGCAGCAGCAGCAGCAGCAGCTGCAGCAGCATCAAGGGCCGTTGGCTGTCGCGGCATCTGCCGTTTCCTCCGGCGATGGCGGAAGCAGCACAACTGTAGGTTCTGCGCACAAGCGGCCAGCAGCAGCAGCGGCGAGCAGCAGCAACAGCAACAACAGCACCACCAGCACCAGCACCAGCTGCAGCGGGGAAGAAGTATGTCGTCTGTGCCTGCGTGGCGGTGGGGCTATGCGAGTAGGAGAAGAGCGTTTGTGGGTGCACAGCTGCTGCGTGCTGTATGCTGCCGGGGGTCCTTACTTTGTGCAGCAGCTGCAGCTCGACAGTCCTGCTGCAGTTGCTGCTTCTGTCTCCCTTGCTGCAGCAATGGGTTGGCGCTGCTGCATCTGTGGGGCGGGAGGCTTCCCTGTTGTCTGTTCCTTCCCCGGCTGCAGCCGCCGCATGCATGTAACATGCGCAAAGGCAGCAGGCTGCTGCTGCTGCTGTTGCAGTGTATGGACGGGGGAGACGGAAGGCTTAGGACAAGACATGACATGGAGGGCTGTCTTCTGCCTTCAGCACAGCAGCAGAGATGCTGTCAGCAAGGCGCGATTAGCTCTTAAAAAACAAGCTGCTGCTGCTGCTGCTTCTCCTGCAGCACCTGCTGCTGCTGCTGCTGCGCTTCCCCCGGCCCATCATCCGGCTAATCCTTCAGGGGCTCCTGCAGCAGCTGCTCATGCTGCATCTGCTGCTGCTGCGACTCCGGCGGCTCCAACTGCACGGGCGGAAGCTGCAAATAATGCAGCAGCGGCAGCTGCTGCTGCTGTTGCTGCTGCAGCAAGTACAGCCACAGCTGCTGCTGCTGGCGACGATCCAACACACAGGCTGCACCAGCTCCAGCAGCAGCAGCAGCAGGATGCTGCAGCTGAGCTACACCGTCAACAGCAGCAGCTGCAGCAAACCCTTGCATCTACCCCTCAGCAAATGCTTGCTGCTGCCCGAGACCTTGCGGGACAACAACAGAAGCTGGCTCTTACGCCGCAGCAGCAGCTGTTTGTCCAGCAGCAATACCTGCAGCAGCAGTTCTTACAGAAACAGTATTTACAGCAGCACTTGTTGCAACAGCATTTGCTGCAGCAACAACTGCTGCAGCAGCAACAGCAGTTACTTCAGCAACACTACTTGCAGCACAAGCAGCAGCACCACGACCCTATGGTAGCAGCAGCGGATGCGGCGACAGCAGCTGCTGCAGACGCAACGGATTCCTCTACTGCCGCTGCCGAGACAGCAGCAGCAGCAGCAGCTGCTGCTGCTGCGGCGGCGGCAGCGGGTCCAGCAGGGGGTTCGCCGAATGCATGCCTTGGAGCTCATTCGTTGCCGACTTTCGGCTCATCTGAAGCAACAGCAGCAGCAGCCGATGGCCAGCAGCGAGGATTCACGCAGACGCAGCAGCAGCAGCTACAGCAGCTGCAGCAGCAGCACAAACAGCAAGCCGTGCGACTTGGGGCTTCGCCAGGACCGACCCCATACCCTGCTGCTGCCGCCGCCGCTGCTGCTTCGCTGCTGCGCGACCCTTTGCAACAGGGCCGCTGTACGCAGCAGCAGCAGCAGCAGCTCCCTCTGCTGCTTCGCTGCTGATGAACCCCGCAGGGTCGCCTCTGTTGCCTGTGCTGTCACCGCAGCCCCTTGGAGCAGCAGCCGCAGCCCCTGCAGTTGCGGCAGTAGCAGCAGGTGCCATGGCCGCAGCAGCACCAGCACCGGCAGCAGCAGCAACAACAGCGGGAATGCCAGCAGCAACAGCAGGAACAGTAGCAGCAGGGACGCCAGCGGCAGCAGAGTGCGTTGGCGCGGTAGGAGGAATGGCTGCGACAAGAGGGTTGCGGGCTCGAGGGCGTCAGTCAACAGTTGCTTCAACGCCGCAGCAGCGTGGCAGCAAGTGTTTCTCTCAGACCTCCGATGCAGGAGTAGAGACATCTGCTGCAGCAGTAGGAGCAGCTGCGGCGTCTTCAGTTGACGGCATGGGTGCTGCATCAGCTGGAAGCACGCCAGCAGCAGCAGGGCATGGTGGAAGCGGGCGCGACACGGCAAAAGGCCCGTGTAGCAGCACTTCAAAGAAGTCTCCTAGCACCGGCTCCAACAGCAGCAGCAGTAGCAGCAGCAGTAGCAGCAGCAGTAGCAGCAGCAGCAGCAGCAGCAGCAGCAGCAGCAGCAGCCGCGGCAGTCGCGTCCAGTGGAGCCGCTTCGATGGCCTCTTTCGCCGTGTCCCCTTAGGGCCATTTGCTGCTGAGGTGTCTCGTACTTTTAAGGAAGGAGCAGAGAGGCAGCAGGCGCTGCAGGAAGCAAAAAACATCGAAGCAACTTTGCTGCAGCCCGCTTGCTGCCCTGCTGCAGCAGACTTGCTGCTGCCAGCAGAAGAAGACCTCAAGGCCCTGCAGCAGCTCCTCGACTTGCACGCGCAGATCTTGAACGAGGCCCGCCAAAAGGCTGCAGCAAGGAATCAAGCCGCCGCCAGCAACAGCAGCAGAAGCAGTAGCGGTAGCAGCAGCAGTAGCAGCAAGGCGCCAGTAGATTTCGATACGCCAATTACAGCGTTGATTGATTTCGGCTCGGTCGCCGCTTGGTGCTGCTTCGAGTTCAAACGGGACCCCAAGGGAGGCACAGATGCTGCTGGACAGCTGCTAGACAGCCTCTGCAGCAGCGGCAAAACTGCTGCCCACAGCAGCGGCAGCAGCAGCGATTGCAGCAACGGGAACTTCGTGCTGGACGATGCAGCTATAAGAGAATATCTCCGTAAAGTCGTGGCGCCCGCGCTTGCGCAGCAGAAAGGCGAGGGGGCAGCAGCAGCTGCATCTCCCGCTGCTTCTGCAGCAGCAGCAGCAGCAGAAGAGGAAAGCCCACGCAGCAGCAAATATGAAGCCCTCGCTTCGCAGTTGTGTGTCCGCGAATTTAGAGTCCTTACCAGCTACCAGCTGGCTTTCTGTCGCCGCCACCTTCAGCGGGTGCAGCTGACAGCAGATGGAAAAGCTATTAACCTCAAGGCCCTGCTGCAGCAGCAGCTGCAGCAGCAGCAGCAGCGGCAGCAAGAAGCAGCAACAGGCAGCGCCAGTCAACTCCCAGCAACCGCCGAAGCAGAAGGAGCGCGCAAGAAAGTCGGCTCCTTACAAGGTGCTTCGGCAGAAGCAGCGGCAGGTGCTGCTCCAAATTCAGAGAGTGTAGTAGCAGCAGCGAAAACGCCGGAAACAGCAAGAAAAGGATCTTCTGCTGAGGGGAACCCGGAACGTGGGGCACCTCGAGGCGTCGAGAGCAAAGACATGCATGTAGACTCCGAAGGGGCCAAAACAGAGCAGCAGCAACCGCAACAGAAGCAGCAGAAGCACTTAAGCCAGGAATCCATTGGCAGCACCTGCATCAATGACGCAGCAGCAGCGGCGGTCTGCCCCACCTCATCGCCGTCCGCCGGAAAAGGAACACCAACAGTTCCCCCTGCTGTACTCCCTAGCAGCAGCAGTGGAAGCGGCGGCGGCGCAGGTGCAGCATCATTAGTGGAGGTTGCGGGTCATCGATGGTATTGGGGATCTGGAGCAGACAGCAAGGAGACAGGAGACTTTGTTGGTAGCCAATGCATGCAATTCTTGCAGGTTCGTAACCGGTGTATGCGCTCTCACCCCGACTCTCAGATAGAAAAGTGTTCCAACTTACGAATATTTCCTACCCTGTTTTTCTTCCTTCTTTTGCTCGTTTGTATCTCTCTTTGCCTCCTTTACCACTACTTATCTTGCATCTGTCGCATCTGCTGCGTCTGCTCCTCCGGTTGCATCTACTGCTCCTGCTGCACCCGCTACTTCTGTCCCCGGTGCTGCTTCTGTTGGTCTTTTTGTGGTGGTTGGGTGTAACAGCCAGAGAGGATATTTGCTGCTGCTGTTGCTGCTGCTGCTTTTTGCAGGTTAGCCGCGTATTAGCGCGTGACTTGGGTCGTTATAAGGCGGCCTTGCTAAGAAATTTGTTAGAAGAAAATCAGACAGCGCTGCGACTTGTAGAGAGGGCAGACGTCCTAGAAGATCTGCTGCAGCGATATGGGGAGATGGAACGCTGGGCACACCTAAGACAGGCTGTATGTGCAGGACTCAAGGACCTGCCGATGCCACCCTTCCTACCCGCTGCCACCCAATCGCTCCAGCATCAGCAGGTGCAGCAGCAGCAGGTGCAGATGCGGGCGATTGAGGGGAGAAACGCACATACACACATCCCGACACAACTGCAGGCCCCCGCTGCTGTAGCGGTGCCCCTGCAGAAACGAGATACGAACAACAGCAGCAATGACAGAAACAACAACGAGACGCCGACACCAGAAGCTATGCAGGCAGTCGCGCAGCGTCTTGCAGCAGCAGCAGGAAGGAAGCAGCCCACAGAGCCAGAACAAGAGTTGCTGCAGCTGCAGCAGCGGCGGCAGCTGTTCAATCCGAAGCCAGAGCCGGTAGCAGATGAGGGCCCCCCTGGAAGCGACGTTGCCGAGGCAGTAGAAGCAGCAGCAGCTGCTGCTGCAGCAGTAGCTGCGGCGTCTGATCCCGCCAGTGCAGCAGCAGCTGCTGCTGCTGCTCTGCGATTGTACGAGCAGCAGGAGGGAACTCTCCCCAAAGAGAATTCTACGGTTTCCCCGAGGCCTCCACTGACTGGTTTGCTGCGGAATATCCATACACCTCGAGTTGGCTCAGATGCTACTGCTGCAGGAGCAGCAAAACGCAAGTGGGTCTCCGCCACTGTTGCTGCTGCCACTGTGTTGTATTGTTGCTCCTGCGTCTCTCGCTTGCTGTGCTTCTGTTGCTGCTTACCCTTGGTGCTGCTTTGGATGCGTTCCGGTTTTTCCAGAGTTTTTGTTTGCCTGTGAACTTGCGGTGTACGCGCAGCTTCTCAAACCCAACAGATCGTCAACGCAACAGTACCCGGGCTGCTGCGGAAACCCCAGCTGCAGCAGCAGCAGCAGCTAAGGGACCGGCAACACCGAGTGTTGTTTCTGGCTCGGTGTCGACCGTTTCTGGTGTCAGTAGGGCGTTGGCTGTGCCTAGCAGTAGCAGCAGCGGCAGCGGAGGCAGCATAAGCAGCAGCAGCAGCAGCAATGCTTCGTCGAGTTTTTTGTTGTCAGTTGGAAGGGGAGGTCCGAGCCTGGGTTTTGAGTTTGTTTGCTGCTGCGTCTGCTGGCGGACAGAAAGCTCAGCTCTTAATCCTCTTTATTCTTGCGTGCGGTGTCTCTTCTGCTGCCACAAACATTGTTATGGAGTTGGCAAGATTGGAGATACACCCGAAGGAGAAGATTGGATATGCAGGCGCTGTGAAGTTGATAGGCGATCTCTTGGCACACAATGGATGGCCGTATTTAAACCCATGGAACCGAAGTGCCAGGTGCTGCTGCTGCACCTGCAGCTGTTACACCTGCTGCTGGTGGTGCTGCGTTGTATGACGATAACGATGATGATGCTGGGCTGCTGTTTTTGATATATATATATATATATATATATAT